TCGACGTTTGAATATTCTGATTCCATACATATAGATGAAGTAATAATATCATATGTGGATATTGAGTATTAAACATCTGTCAATATTTATTACCATCCATTGATATCTATTCCATCAATATTCAGCCATCAATATCGAGTATCGGTACAGATCCTTCCGCAATAGAGATAGAGCCTCCTATCGTCGACGCGGGCGATTTTCGTTTTTTCGGCACCGATCGCTGTTTACCTCGACAGTTCCCGGCCCTGGGGAAACTCCATCGGCCGCTGGACTCCAAGACGGGAGCCTGATGACGATTCACAGATTTCTCGAATCTAATGCATCAGCGTCCGGGACAGAGGTGTTTTTGTCGTCCCATGAAAAAGCTAGGGAAGAATCCGCTGAGAGACGCTTTCTCTTGCCATCGATTGGCGACCCCAGCGGGTGACTTCAATCAGACTCCAATTTGAAATGATCTGCTCAGCATAGGGAACGTGCATGGACGTGTGATCGAGCTCGATCTTGGAGAAGTCGTCAGCCGCTGCATAAAGTTGCTTTATGCAAGTCGCGTCGAAGACTCGATGTCCTCGTGGAATCAGGTTGAGCTTGGAGCAAGAACGAGGAAGAATTCCCCGCTCATTGAGAGACCGAAGTCCGCGAGAGTGGCTATTCCGCGTATGTCACCTCCTGTGTCGTGACTGCGAGAAACCCGCAGATTTCCCATGAGCGAGCAGACACTCCATGCAATCGCTCCGGAACGATCCGGGCATCGCTCTCTATTTCAAGCTCGTACTGGCGAAAGTTCGCCGTAATCAAAATCGCGCTAGATTCGGATATCGGCTTTGGCAGCTCCTTCGGGACATTGCCTTCCAATAATGCTCCGCGGCGATGAGTCGCCATGATGACGTTCGCGCTCATGCTGTGTCTCGTGAACATGGTCGCTCCGACAGGACGAGGATCGGCCGTCGAGGTCCGAGAGGAACTACTCTCGCCCGAAGTTTTCATCACAGCGGAAAAGTATGCGATAGCGAGCGGAATATCTCCACAAGCACTGCTCATACTGCTGACTTTCATGAACTTCTTCGAGAGACCTCAAGTTAACGCGAGCTTCTTAGTGATGACACCCACTCGGGCGGATCTGAGAGCTTCGACTTTCCGTTATTCCTTCATGTTCCTGGACGTTCTCGCAGCCAACATGAAAACCGTCGTCATTTCGCCGACGCTCTTCGCAATGGCGCATCCATTCGACAACATCCGTCACAGACTGCTTCTGCACATCATCGCGGGACGGGGACTGACGAGTTTCTTCAATATAAATCGTTTGCGCGTGACCACGAATCGTATTCACCAGAACGGAACCCGGAGTTTCTTTTGCATTAGAGCTTTCGATCACCTTGTCGTTTGGCGAGAGTATCAACCTATGGAGAACTGCCTCTCCGCCACGCCGACCTGCGCGATGGAAAGGATACGTCTGCATGGGCGATCGGTCGGCCGTAGAACCCGGCCGGAGATGAAGCTCCGTGCTTCAGTCAGATGTAACGAAACCATCATCGAGTTGTATTACTTTCTAAACGGAGTTTCGGTACCGCGTCCGGAACGGGCGGCCCTAGGGAACGAGCATGAAGTTATGGTGATGCGATTCTCGACGTCGACCATGACCGATACCGCATGCTTCACTCCAATTAAGTGGCGGAACAAAGACATATCATCGCTGCTCGAGCCAGTCGACGCGAATGTCTGGATTCTCACGGTCGCGAGCGTATCGATTATCGCATGGTTGATCTCTCGTCTGAACGGGACCAGCTTTAGCGACACCGGAATCAAGATCATGTTGAATTTCATAACGATCGTCGGTTTAGACCGAGGAGATCGGAGATACTCTCAGATGATCGCGACAGGGTCGGCCATCGCGTTGTGTTTCTTCTTCGTGCAGATCTACTCGAACTTCATGACATCTTCATTCCTGAACCCGCGCGTCTTTATTCCCTGTTCGATGATGTCTAGCTGTCTGCATTTGGTTTTCTGCTATTCCCGCGATAAGCTCATTGAGGAGATGTCCAGAAACGGGGTTTGTCTCTGCAACCTAAACCGTATGCAACAAGGTCTTATCGGACGTCCCTTGCACCGATCGATTGAGCCGTGGAAACCTGTGTCGGAGGTCGCTGATCCGAATCGTGCGCATATGCAAGAATTTAACCCCTCTCGTGATTTACGACAATTGCGTTTGAACCCGATCAGGGTGAGCTCGAGACTCAATCGTCTACTCGAAACCGCCATCATATCAGAAGCCCGTTTCGAGCCCAATTGGGATGATATCCAACAGTTTTTGCGGAATTCAGGCAAGTATTCCGATAAGAACAAGACTGAACGGATGTCGGCGGAGATGGATGCGATGTACATAACTTTCCAAACGACGGTGGATTTGTTCGACGTTGAGAGTTTGCGGAAACTGTTGCCGCTGTTCGGCGCTCTCTTGACCGCAGACGTCGTTTCGTTGATCTACGAGCTGATCGCTAATTGGACGAAAGCTTCGACAAGAAAGGGGCTTACAAGGTGTTCCCAAGCCGTGTTCTCGGAAAGGAGGGTTTCCCATATCTACTCCTTCGGCCAAGCAGTCTCGGTCAAAACCTCGGTTTCTCCAGGGCTTGACTCTCCCAGTCTCGTCGAGAGGCAGCTTGCAGAAGTTTCACGTCCTAGGACCCAATCCCTTCGGATCGCGGGCGAGTCGCTGGCTACGGGATCCGATCAAGATTCTGGGCTTGAACAAGTCCGATCCTGAAGGACGACTCGCGCGAACAGTTTTGTCAGAGCCTTCACCGATACCGCAATCGGGCGGGAGGAGAGGTCATAGCTCGAAACACTAATCAGGGACGCAGAGTTCTCCGCTCGGAATGCATTCGTACTCTGACGGGAGATACTGTCTATACTTCGGATTATCGGCGACGATTCTTGTGAATCTCATTGGGGTCTTCGACAGGCGAATCCCTGGATGCCCACCACTACTATAAACTGGATTGATTGTATGACTAGAGGGTTCAGAGACTGTTCCAATCATTGTGATCGACGTGCTCACCGGAATACATGGAGAAGTTGCTCGGAGTGCCCTGGATTTCGAAATCTAATTGGGCCGCATCTCATCGAAGAATGATGAATGTGCGAGATGACCGTCCCAAGTCACGCATCGCAGCGCGACAGTTTCGAGATTCTCCTTGGGAGTCAGGATCAAGCGCCTGTAATCCCTCATACTCCGTCTGCCGGTTCTGCCTCGGAAGCCAGAATTGTGAAAGCCAGAATTGTGAAAGCCAGAGTCGTGAAAGCCCGAATTTGTGAAAGCCAGAATTGTGGAAGCCAGAATTGTGAAAGCCAGAATTTGTGAAAGCCCGAATTTGTGAAAGCCCGAATTGTGAAAGCCCGAATTTGTGAAAGCCCGAATTTGTGAAAGCCCGAATTTGTGAAAGCCCGAATTTGTGAAAGCCCGAATTTGTGAAAGCCCGAATTGTGGGAGCCCGAATTGTAGGAGCCAGAAGTTGTGAAAGCCCGAATTTGTGAAAGCCCGAATTTGTGAAAGCCCGAATTGTGGGAGCCAGAAGTTGTGAAAGCCCGAATTGTCGAAACCCGAATTGTGGAAGCCAGAATTAGGTAGTGGGAGCCCGGATTCGTGGCGCCGGGAGGAGCAAGAAGAAACTGTCAGATGTACGGAGGCGGGATGGGACCTCATACCCCTTCTTATTATTCGCTCGGTTTACAGTCTACAGCTTTTCGACAGCTTTTTGATACAAGTCGACGCTCAAGTCACGTCTCGAATGCCACAGACGGGAGCGATCGCAAGGGAGCCGAAATTAATCAAGGGTATCGGGCTCGCGGGTACGCTCACTCGTGAATCGTAATTCGCCCCCCTTCAGCCCAGGGAATCTCTTCACGGACTTGGTCGAAGCTCAATGGTCAGAATGGTCGACGACGGGGAACACAAAACTCGAGAGCAAGATTTTATTGCTTCTGAAGCACATCTCCGAACTCCGAACGCACAGTTTCCAAACACCACCACAGCTTTGGAACAAAACACGGCCGTGTCGATAAGTCCCACTCGACGTACGTTCGTATATGAATGTCTCCTCTGAGGTCCCAGATAAGCACCCCTGCGACAAATGGCACAAGGGCCATTCAAGCTTCACCGATTGGCGGTCTCTACTCCAGAGAAAATTGATCTAGTAAAGAGTAGGCTCACCCCGGTTGGCAGGATTCTAGCTTTAACAAATTCGGGTTCCCACAGATACTGGCTCCCAAGAATTCGGGCTTTTATAGATTCGGGCTTTCACAATTCGGGCTCCCACAAATTCGGGCTTCCCCGAATTCGGGCTCCCACAATTCGGGCTCCCACAATCCGGGCTTTCACAAATTCGGGCTTTCACAAATTCGGGCTTTCACAACTCTGGCTTTCGCCATTCTGGCTTTCACAATTCTGGCTTCCGCGATTCTGGCTTCTGAGATGGTACCCCGTCTGCCGGGGGACGTCGTAAGCGGAGGATAAGGACTCGACCCGTCACGGTGATTAAGTGAACAAACAAACATACTCTAAGACCCAAGCAATGAGCACCGACGACTGTCACCCTCGCCCGAATTGTCGGGTACTCTTCTCGGACGGCGACGATCTCCGGGAAATCTCTCCGATCGGTCGCGCGTGGATATTCTTCAAGACGGGCACCCCGAATGTCGACCTCTATCATCGCGTCCTCACGAGCTGGCGGGGTCGTCGTTTGGAGCTCCAAGGATAGAGATCCAACTCGATTGATTCTAATAGCTAAGGGGGACGCAACTGCAGTTGACATGGGATGCCTGTCTGTAGGAATATTCACGGCTCATTATACACTTACATACAGATATACATATTGTAATGGGATTCTCCGAGGGCAATCTGAGCCCTAATCCGAGAAGATGATTTCCCAATCGATTTCTAGAAGATGCTATGTTGCTGTTTGTCCAAGTCGCATCTCGAGCGTCAAGAAATGAAGTCCGATAACTCGTTTGACCGAGATTTATTGAAAAATCCGATTTTCTTTGACGCAGGACGTCGAAACCTATACGGGATCCCTCTTCTTGTAGATATGGAGGAAGAAATTCGTGTCCATGTAGAGATTGATATCCTTGTCGGAGCCGAGTCCTCTTACATCCCTGAGGAGATTCCGAAGATCAGACTTGAGCTCACCAAGAAGATCCGCGTCAGGATTCTTCTTCTTGAACTTCTGGAAAGAGGACCAGGTGGCGAGGTACTGGATGTAGCCGTCAAGGTCGGTGGGTCGCTTCTGATGAATAGCCAATTCCTGTAGAAGGGGTTCGAAACCCCGTCCCGGTTTCCGCAGAGTCCGATAACAGGAATCGATCAAACTTCGATCGGTTTCCCAGAAGGGACCCAAGTCGCTCCGATATAGCTGTGGAAGATGGCAGCGGCTAAATAAATCGAGTATGAGGAGCACGAGAATGTTGAAGGCAATATACATCAGCAGATTTACCCTCATAATACGTGTCTCGATCGCTGAATCGATTTCGGAGACCCCCGACACAGGTAATGGGACACAGTAACCAAACATCGCCAAGAGTCCGTTTTTCCGGAGTACCCTATGAGCTTCTGAATAGAACTCCCCAACATCGAACCAATGCACGCATTGACTCGCCGTGATGACGTCGAAGGATCCGGCTCCGAAGATCATGTTGCCAACGGAGCTCAGTCTGAAAGGCATTCAAGGGATAAGGTCACAGTCAGGAATGATTAGGGACCATTTCTAGTTTCAATCGCATCATCAACGTCAAATGAAGTCGATGAAATGCGAAAGATTTCAGCGTCTTCCCGATAGATCCGAATTTCATTCGCTAATGATTGCCCGCCGAAAGCCTCAACTTCATTGATATGACTCGAATCTAGATCGATTCGGCATTCGAATATTCGCTATAGTTCCGAAGATCTATCATTATCAGTGGAGCCGCTGGTATGACGAAGAAGAACTCTAGTCTGTTTATTCGCCCCCAGTTCGATGAAACACTAGGGACCTTTACTTGTATTCTACGTTGAGAAGCTTCTTCTCGGTCCGTCTGGCTTCGGCTTGCTCGATCTGCGCCCTGGAGTTGTCGCACCCGACAACTCTTTTGAAGTGCTCTGCCATCAGCTCGGTGCACTGACCAGATCCACAGCCCACATCCAAGAGGGATTCCCGGGAGGATGCACAAGACACTATCCGATGCAAGAGCTCCGTTGGGGGCGATGGACGGAATTTCGAGTAGAGCTCGGCGTGCTCCGCAGTTCTGAACACGAACTCTGACATACTGCGCTCTCCGACACATCTACGGACACCTCTAAGACCTCCCGAGAGGGTCCAACCTGGAATTGCTTCGAAATCGGAGCCTGAGGTTTGAATGGTTGCATTCGACAACGTTCGATCGTGACAACTCACAATCAGTCAGAGCGGGCGACCCTTCCCCCGAAGAATGAGCAAATTAGCCCAAGTCGAGGCCTCGGGTAGACGGAAACATACTCCCTGAGGAACTCGATTGAGATCTCACCCTTAATCATTCTTCGAAGACTGTGCACTTATGACCTTGCCTCAGCAATGTTGACCATGAATGTTAATGGCCTGATGGTTCTTTATGATATTCGAGGGCTCCCACCGAGACGTCCTATTGAGCCCGCGCTGAGCCTGAGTGCTGTGCGTCGAATCCTCCGTATCCGGAAGGACGCTCAAACCCGTCCGGAGAGGACTTCCGGCGGGAACGCAGAAACGAGCCGTCTCCTTTGTCTGCTTCGAGATTTCTGCATTCGAATTCCGGCGCTGTTTACAAGAGCTTGCTCGAATCCAGCGTCGAGCTCGCTACGGTCTGTAGGCGTAATAGAGCACAACGGAGTCGCGCGACTTGGCAAGGAGACAAACCTGCGAATTTTCCCGTCTACGGACAGGATCATGCTCGCTCCAACTGCATTCCAAACATGTGTCTGTGTCGGAGGGAATCCTTACATGAGAGCTCAGTCAGCTCGAACACATGAATCTTTCCGATCCGTTCGAGACCGGCGTGGATAGACGTATCTATCAAACTTCACACGGTCATGTAGTGCGCTTTCTGATCTGCTCAATGTGGTGCTTCGGGTAGCTCGAGATTCCGTCGGCAAAGAAGTGGAAGATTCGGAATCGCCTAAAGATAGGGATCGATGGGGAACTGTCGACCAGCCCACGATATGAGCTTGTTGCTCGCGCTCGAAATCTTCCGAGCTCACCGCTGTTGGTGGGATGGCCCCTCGTAAGGTTGCTGGTTCCTAATTTCTCGGTACTGATCAGCATTTGCTGGAATAATATTATTGCCGATGACATTCGCCGGCGCTCTGAGGAGTTGTATAATATCACGGAATCGGTTGTCCTCGATATACACCGATCCGGATGCTCCCGAAGAGCGCGTCAAGTTTTGGGAGAACGATTTTCGGGGATCCCTGGTCCTCTTAGCACGTATCCGAATCTTTGGGCTGATGCCCGGGAGAGATATCAGAGGAAGAATAAGTCAAGCACTGAACATCCAGCGCTGTGTGCCTGATACTTGCCGCTGTCTACCTCCAATCCGACCTCTTTGCTGTAGCGAATGGGAACCAGCTTTCTACCGTAGATCCTGAGAGAGCCTCATTGCCGGGTCCAACTTCCACAAGCTTCCCAAATCATCATCGTCCTCTACTCACAATGACAATCTGCTTCTTGACCAATCGATCAACGACGTCGTCTCCCACCTCGAGTTATCCATCATTCGCGATATAAGTCTCGTCAGAGTCGAGGAATGAGCCGCATAACCGCACTTCTCGAAATATAGCTGAAATCAACGGTGTCAGTTCAATGCGAAAATCAAGCGCTCAAGTTTCCCCAAAAGGTAGAATTAGAAGCAAAACACCATGTGCTTAGTGGGCGTTGATTGATCAAACAGTCTGTATGTCTTCCGTGGATGGGTAATTGTGGTGATGAACCATTCGCAGTCGAGAAATCTTTCGAGCGTTTGGTCAAGCTCCGGTCGTGCGATTCGGCCATACCACCTTTCGAAAAAAGCGCGCGTCTCCCTCTCTACGAAGGCGGTGCGATGACAGCAGCAGACCGGTATAGAACATTCGCCGAATGTCAATCCGTCGATCCTGAAGCCCGACCGACGTTCTAATTCAGAAGAAGAGTTATCTCCGGATTCCACCGTGGTTTCCTGCTTCCCGGAGTGACAAAAATGACCTTCAAACCGGTGACGCACTGCATATTCGACCTCGACGGTACTTTGGTCGATTCTGAGAGAATCTACTTCAAAGCCATAGATTCCGTATTACGTAAATACGGTCATCGACATTCGACGGAGATGTGTCGCAAAATCAATGGAACTACTCGGGCTGAGTATTCCAGAATTCTGGTGGAGGACTGCGGTCTCCCCATAAGCGCCGAAGAATTCTTGGATCAAATGGACGCGATAGCGCAAGGCATGCTTGAGAACGTTGAGCTGCTGCCCGGAGTGCAGAAATTGGTGACACATCTGAAGAACCACAATATTCCCATGGCGATCGGGACCAGTAGTGCTATGAAGTCCGTCACGGCGAAGTTGAGCAAGCACAAGCAGCTGATGGAGTGTTTCGATCACCTTGTCAGTGGTAGTAGCGATCCCGAAGTGACGGCGGGTAAGCCGGCTCCTGATGTTTTCCTAGTAACCGCGCGGAGGTTCAAGCCGGCTGCTGACGTATCGAAAGTGCTGGTCTTCGAAGATTCGCTGAACGGTGTCTTGTCGGGTTTGGCAGCTGGTATGCAAGTCGTGATGATTCCCGATCCAGATATCGTGACAGAAGATCAGAGGAAGATTCCCACGCTGTGTTTGGAGTCTTTGGCAGACTTCAAGCCGGAGTTGTTTGGCTTACCACCGTTTTGATTGCGCTGGTTGACCCTTTTCGACCTGCGAACCGCAGCATCGTGATCGTGTTCGCGATCTGTAGAGAGCCTCGGAGAGTGCTCATGCGGGGAAGTCGACCGAGAGGATCGTGTGTGATCTACCTCATCGGAGTTATTGGAACATCTCCCATGGGAGCATATGAAATACATTCATGGACGACAGAGTCCGTGTTGCCGATTTCAGGAGTTGACACGTCCCATAGGGGATACGAATGGGATGAGAAAATGCTGCGACCACTTTTGTAGAATAAATGTTCGAGTGCACGAAACCGGAAATCGGTCTTTGTTCCATCTCATCTCGAGAATTTTCCGAAATTGACATTCCAGCGGATTAATCCACCCATAATTGGGTTGATCATGCAACATGCTTCCCAAATATGAATCGATCATCTTTGTGCAGGATCCTCAGGAACGTCGGTTTCGTTGAGCTGGAACCATCCGAAACTCACGCTATGTATTCGGGTGAAGTCTGGACCTCTTTCCTCAGTCCTCTGATACGAGCGAACACCCCATGATGACCAGATAGCTTCTTCGCATTCTCGACGCCTTCAAGCCCGGCCCAAGTCAGAAGGTCAGTGGTCAGGAGATCCCGAATACATCGCGGGAAATTTATACATCCTGAATACCCGAGTATCACTTATTCAGAGCTCGACGGTTCTCGTTTCTGAACCTGAGGAAGTTCCGGGGCCGACTCGGAAGGAGCGAAGGAGCTCGTACCCGAGAAGCCCAAGCTGATCCTCGAGCTCGCGCAGTCCGACGTGACGTCCGACCGGATACTTGGGTCATTCGATGCCGGAGCAAACTCCCTCTCTAGAGCGGCCTCAAGCATGAATCCATGTGGCAAAGAGACTTCAAGTATTCTCCGGTGACCAGCTTAAGTTCCACGGATACAGTCTTGATTCTGACACTTTATTATCATTTATATTATTTCCGCTTCCCGTTTTCTATTGCGCTCATCGAAACCCAGCGAAATGAGGAATTCTGTGGATGCTTTCTTCCGCGGAATCCGTGCCTGCACCTCCTGCTTGCGATCAAATCTGCAGCCTCTTTTCTCGGAAGCTCAATAATTCCTCTACATTTTCCGCTCATATTACCCTCCCACCATGAGGAAGTCCGAAGTCGCTCCATCCGCATCGAGACATCAATGATCCGCGCATGAATATTCACTCTGTCGTGTCGGGCAGTTACATCACATCGCACAACAGTCGACGTCTGCAAGAATATCCTCTTCATCGGGAGTATCCATGCAGAACGGGTGTTCGCGCGTCAGACGCGCCATCGGAGACGTTCGTAGGACCTTCAAGCGAAAGTGACCAACAACAGGCAGCTTAGCTTCATCGCTGTAGCGATCGCTCTCCGCGCCGTATCATTCAGCCCTCAGTGTCGAAAATAATACATCTATAGGTTTAAAATAATACATGTATAGGTTTAAAATAATACATCTATAGCTTGAGATTTAATACATCGTTCTCACTTTCTACAAAACGTACAGGACGCCCTTCACGGACGGTTTTCTCTTAAGGTTCCGGTTCATCAAGGGTAGGATCGTCTGCCGCTCAGTTCTGCCGCCTCAAAGCTTAAGCACGCCCTGCGAGTCGACGGTCTTATCCGCGAACGATTGACCGCTAGAGATACCATGCTAAATATTGAACCAAAAACAATGAGGACGCATCCCAGAATCACATCCTCCGAAGGTTCCCCGCTTTTTCCTGCCTGGAATATACATAAAGTATGATGACTCGGTCAGCTCCAGCTTGTTGGGTACGGAAAATCCTTGCGCAATATTCTCCACCGGAGGCGCGGTTACATACATAATTGCAGAGGGCTCTTGTTTCTGGCTCAGAGCAGAGCGGCTCCGCTCGAAACAAAGGCATGAGGTCCACGTAGCCTGTGAAATCCACGCACTCGTCTTTCACGACCGCGCACTTCTCTCGGTACCAAGCCGAATTCGCTCCCCGCGCATCCCTCACCAAATCACGTATAATGATAACTGCAAACTGAAAGCGGGAATTGGAGTGAAGGTCGGCATAGAGTTACCGGCATCGAGAGATGCCAATCAGCGGAACGATTCTGTTGTCGTACCCACATATCTGCAACTTCGAAACATACTCATGGGGATTCGGTAAGGATCCGTAGAACACTAACCACTGAAATACTGTGGAGGACCATCAGGGTCGAGCAGACGAGCCGAGATATTAGCTGGGTAATCCGACCTCTGAAACAGCATTCTCTTGAAGAGCCACTCGAAGCGAATCCCACGATGAGCGTCACAAGTTGCAATCCGCCGAAAAAAGCCACGATCGTCGTGAAGGGCGTCAGGAAGCCTTCAAGCCTGGAAAATTTTACCAATTCGGTGATCGTACGCAATCTTCGGAGCCGGCATCGGCTGAGGACCGAATCCCGCTTCACCACACAGGGCCAGGTACAACTTGGACGAGTATTCTATTTCTTTTGGAAATGGAGCTCGACCTCGCGAATAGCTACGGTGTCTTTTGCCCATACTGTCATCCGCCACACACCGCCCCGAGCCGATATCCACATGAAGCCTGAACCCCTGCCTCATAAGTTAAGTCTGGAGTGCCTCCGAAGGTCAAACTCATATGCGATGATAGGACTCAGGAAGTGCGCATTCTGTCGATTCATTCGCTATCCTTCACGAGATGATAATTAGGTGATCAAAATGATTTCGGAAAGGGTCGAACTCACATTGACGATCTGTCGCGGAGGCTCCCATCGGCTGGTTCAGGTAAAGCACGGAAAAGATCAGTCGAAAGAACGTGGTTCTCCCGGATTCCATCCAGAAAATGAAACAATCCGAGCACTAGCAAGGCGGTCGCAGCAAGAGTTGCGAAGGGAATCCTATAGCATGACCTCCTGAATGTTCCTGAAAGCGATGGGAAAGCGTCCGAAAACTTCCACGCGGAAGCCTTGTCGGTTCACCTAGGAAATCATGCGTTCGGGAATCGTGTACGTTCCTCGGGGAACTTCATGCGAGAATTCAAAGTGTACTGATCTTGATTCCGCGGAGGCGATTGTCGTCATGTTTCCGGTGGAACTTCGGGGTTTTCCCGTGAGATGGCAACGACGCAAACAATGACTCATCTGTCAACATCGTTGACCATCGGTGCGACTGGGGCTGCTTCGTTGCCTGCGCGCATCCCAGCGAGGGGAGTGTCATGTCCCCATCTTCATTCGAAGCCTAGTGGACTTTGGATCATATGGTCCCAATTTGCCATCACGTCCCCCCTCTTTTCCCCAATTTAAACCCGGGGACGAAATCGAGGATCTGACGCATGCTCGTAGTCCCGAGACTTCGGTCTTGGTGATGCGGTCTGAGAAGCTATCCGTCGACAGGTGTCCCGATGCGCCCACCGACATTCTCATCGTCATCCACCTCGTTAGGGATTTTCATCCAGTGGACATCCCTCAATCCGATGTGGAGTGGCATCCCGAAGTCACAAGAATCGGTAGTGATAGTACATATAGCCCGAAAATCTCCAGTCGACATTCCACACGGGTGATTTCACTAGGAGATCGAGGCTTGCGCCGATTCCCGATCCGAGAGCGAAAAAGGGAGACACATAGCTCGTTTCTAATGCACAATCATATTCTCGGGAAAACATGCACTGGAGCCGCTACCGTGTGGAATCTTTCCTCCCGTTTCACTCACCGAATCTGAATTTAGCGGATTCTGCGGAAGACATGAGTGAATCTTCAATTTCCTATCACGAAGACGGTCCACACCAAGAATCACAGAACAACTTCTTCGAGGGCAATTGTTTGGAAAGTCACGATCGAAGGGAGACCCCTCTCGCTGAGTGCTGATATGTCTGATTGTGAGATGAACCCAAGAGCGTCTCCGCGTTCCCCGAGCATACATCAGCAACATCCAAGATATACGAGAGATAAGCTGTCAATTTTCCCACTTTCTCAGGAAATTTCTGCAAGTCCCAGAAAATAAGGTTATCCTCACTCCATGATCGACCCTCTCCAGGAGGCAGACTTGGTGGATCCTCTCCACTTCGATCACTCTTCCCGACAGGAAATTTCACCGTGATCAGGCCCCACCGATCACTGGTCATTCAAGGGAGCCCTCAATCGGATTCTCGACCGGGTTAGAGAAACTATCCCAGCGGACAGAGAGACACAACCTCGCGAACCCGCTCCGCAACGAACGCGGGAGCGCTCTCCTCGCTCGGGAAGACAGCGCGGCGTCAGTAAAGTTCATCGGCAATCTCGAAGTGACTGGATCGAGAAGCCATAGGGTCCAGAGGAAAGAATCATCAAGATCTAGAACCAGCTCTCCTCCTGGATGCTATCCTGCAGAGAGTACAGCTCGGTGTGGTTTCCGAGTGGAGGTTGTATTCTTGGAGATCGGATGATCTCCAGGGGAGACGCGAGATCTCCTAAGAGGCGGGAAGAGACGTGGGGCTCGGGGATGACGAAGTTTCAGGACCCCTGCTTCAACGCCCTGTCCTGGCTAATCGCAAGCATAGGAAGAGTCGGAACAGACTCATCCCTCAAAAAGAGGTGCGGAAGATAGCGAGAAAGCTCTCATCGAGACCAAGTCTGAGGCAGGATGTTCCGAAACGCGGCACACGTGGAGTTCCGACGCTCACATCCCGTGTCTGAGGGCTCCCCGCGGGATTCCGGGGTTCAACAGCCTGCCCCCTGCGCAAGTCTGGGATTTTTCGTTCCCAGGGCTCCGCACGCCAGTTTCCGAGTGGCCCCGGGGTTTTTCGGGACGCTTTCGGCTTCTGTCTGCTCTCTGAGAGTTCGAATACAACTATTTCTAGATACGCGTAAGACCCATGTGTTCGTGATTGACGACGCTTGGAAGCTCCATCCATACATGCGGAGGAACAGGACATGGGGCCTCAACGGAGCCCTAAGGGCAGGGCTTTCACGGACCAGAAGTTCGGGCACCACTGGTCATACGAAGTCGAAAATGCTCTGCATTGTAGTCCAAATATTATCGATGTTTGAGTCCCCGGAAGGGGGTTCCCCTGGCCTCGATTAAACCCAGACGGTTTTCGTAAAGCTTTCGTTCCTGGATCGGGAACTCCGCTTACGAAAGTGAATTATGGAACCTCAACTTGATCGGGCGCATCCTTCGAGACCTGTCGTCGGTTCAATCATTCTGCTGCAAGAGACCGGACTCTGCGCTCGTTAGGCTACGCACACTTTCCTGTTTGCCTATAGGGTGGAGAAGCGGCGAAGGGACGTATTAATTGGAGAGCCAAGAAAGTCTCGGAAGTCCTCGACGGAGATCCCGCACCGTCAACCGGATGCACAAGCACTTGTTCCCGAGGAAACTTCGCGACCCTGTGAAATAAGCGAACGAAATGGGTAACCGAGAACTCCGGTGGGAGCACCTCGTGATAAACACCAAAACGCTGAAAAAAACTGTTTGTGTCATGCCTTCGAAATCATTCGAGAGCTGGGAGAACGAAACCTTCGCGCGTCTGCAAAGGTTCGTGGAACCCTGTGCGAATTCGTGGGAGACCGATCGAGCACGAATGCCCGATATATGCGTTCCGGTTCTATCGTGATCAGTGTGCGTCGATCACGAAATTCATTCGATTTCAGTCTCAACTCCTATTTCGCGATTTTGAAGCTCGGCGGGAACTGTGATTACCCGTGTCATGTTTTCCGCGGCAACTCATCGAAAAGTTTCAAAAGATACGCCCTAGCACTGTGCATAACTTCAGTTGTTTTCACAATTCAAAGTCTTGTGTTTTTCATAAATCCGGACATAGTGCCAGAATCATATATTCTACTGAAGAGCAAACATCGTCATATTGCCCGGTGAGTTTCTACGCGCGAGTATTGGGAGGACCTGTGTTCGACTCCACATATCGATCCCTAGCGTTGTGGCATCCGTGAATGACTCGATTTCTTCTGCGTCGACAGGTACGCGATTCCTCTGTGGAGTCTAGCGACGAGTACGTTGAGGATTGCTATGGTGAATGTGCTGTTCAATGAGGGCTTTCCAAAACACATACGTGCTGTTCTTTGGGATATTGCCAGTGAGTTGAGCTCGCCGGGTATTCCGCGGTAGAATACTCCAAAGAGAATTCCGGATGGAGCCTCGCAATTCATCGACCCCGCGCTCCAAGCCTGGTTTCCCCGCTTTCAGATGACCCTCATCTCAAACATCATGTACTTTTCACGAGCAATCTCCCAAAATATCTGGGTGTGCCTTTCTTCCTCTTCGGATTCTTCTTCGGTACTTTCAGTGTATGGGCTCTCACTCGGAGTTCCTTAGCGTTTTGCAGTCTCCGACTTTATTTGATCGCGAGTGAGGTTTTCTTATATCACTCGTCCTTCGAAGTGATAGCCTGGTACGTCGGCTTCGTGACCTTCAAGCACGTTCTACCGCTCTTGAAAGTGACCAATCAGAGGTTTCTCCGGGCGGCGGAAACCATGAACATCGACGCTCTACGGGTAAGGGGCGTTCCAGGAGAGGCATGGGAGCCTCCTTAGATCAAAGGTTCCCAAACGGGGTTCCCTTGGGTTCCGTGGCGGATTGCGCGGAACCCTGAAGTCTACCTGCGGAACCCCAGAAGAAAAAGTTTGGGAACCACTGCCTTAGATGATCCTCCTCATTGGATTCGATGTTTTTCTCGCAGGAGGCGATTGCTTGTCATGACAAGTGCTGGAATTTGATTGAGTGCATTGATCGCATCGCCGGCTATTTCATGGGAATTTGTCTAAGCCTAGCAATTCCAACGACTGTTCTCACTGTGGGTTTCTTGACTTCGGTGACCCGAGAGTTGGCGTCGTTCTATCCCGTCCTGGTGTGGACCATTTACTTCTTCAGCTCTATGGGTTTTCTAATCCACGTGACTGGATCGATCCACACAACGGTGAGTCAAAAAGAAGGTACGAACCGAACACCGCACGCTCCAATTAACCTGCGCCCGTCTGGAATTCTTTTTCAAAGAAGGCACGCGCTATCCCACAGGCTCATTTGCCGGACGCAATCCTCACAAAGAATCTCTACAGCTGTTTGGTATTCAGAGACTACGCTTTCCAATTCCGAGCTAGATTCACCAATCAGTCCATCGGCTACACCTACTTCGGCTACGCAACTTTCCGAAAGGAGACATTCCTTACGGTAGGTCGGGACCTTTGCAAACGCTCCCTGTCCTCTCGACTGGACTAGGCGGATCCGTGAGATAGGATTTCCCCTCTGTCTTTTGAGTCTTCCGCGAGAATCGGACAAGGCGAATAGTCAGCAGTCAGGCAGGTTGCGAAACAGTTCAATCATTCGTTGCAGATCCTGAATATCGTGGCAACCTACGTCGTGGTCGGATTTCAATTGCGATCAAATGAGCAAACATCGCTCTCGAATCTTACTTCTACAATCCATGAATGAGGGAGCATGAACTTTTCCGTTACGGGGATCCCGGCGGAGCCTGGATGGATGGGAGTCACTCGGATAGAGATGTGTCCTCCGAAACGTACCCCCGTCGAATAGGTCAATATTCTCTCCCTTCTGACTGAGCGAGACAACATTGCTCTACAAGTTTCGAGGATACCCGGGAAGACTTCACACCCGATTGCTCCAGGGCCCCGGCTCACTTATCGATACCTCTGAATTCTCACTCGGGATCCCAGTTTTTTCTGTACATTTACATTTCATCATCATATATCATGAATATGATCAAACATTCAATCGAATCTATGGACTTGGTCCATCTCTTGCACCAAGACAATCGGGCGGGAAATGAATGCAAGCTCATTATGACTCGCTCCGTGCTCTCCTTTTTCTAGTCCTGAAACGGAGCGGAAATTCGCGGGGTATCAAAGCGAGAAGGAATACGACTCTAACAGGTGGACTGCCGTCAAGGATTAGTGGAAACGCAACTCGGTTCCCGTCTCAGACTACACCTCGGTCTTTCTACAAATATCGTCCACAACCTGGAGAGTGAAATCAGACTCCGGTTTGCGGTTTGAGTCCATTCCGGGAAGTCGCGCAATCACTCCCCGTGAGACGCAGTACCTGTCTCATATGTTATCCCCGTATTCGAAGCTATGGTCGTGTTCATTGCCACTCGAGTATTGAGTTACTTGAGGGAGCTCCTTATGCTCTTCGCTGAAACCTGCTCAAGCAGTCAGCCACTGCTGAAAGTAGTGATGCGTTAATCTGCAATCCTCCAAGAAGAGGACAAAACGGACAAAAAACTACGTCTACAGACATATATCGAAACTCTATCTCTACCACTCCTACCCCCATTCGTCCCCCGTCATTTTCAAAACCGAGAAAATTTTCCTCGCACACGGCGGTAGGGGAGGGCATGAGGAGTCCCCGTTTAGCCCCAATCTTCCCGAACTACTTCTAGCTATCATTCCGGTGCCTCGCAAACCCGGAACCAGTTATCGAAGGCATCTCTAGCAGCCCCAGAGGGAGATCCGATGACGATATGAATCCGATCTCATGATCCACTGTCCAGCATCGGCTCCTCTTGTCACACTAGTTAACGAGCATAAGAAAAACCTGCTCTGTTCCCTCTTACGATGCTTACTCACAGGAAAATATGCCTGGGGGTGATCGGTGTGGATGAAAACATTTCTGATATGAGGACTGAGCAAATGCGGCCCTGTCTGCATGAAGAAGATTCCCCTCGCGGTAGGGACTGACACTCCCTGATCAGAGGTGGCTTGGGAAGATCCGCTCCCCTCGGGTGCTACTCATGTACCTACATAGGTATAGTAGACCGGTAATTTAGTTCAGCTCCGCGCTCCGCAAACGGTCGCCCACCTAGCTGAGCATTCTATGTCGGTTTCCCGCAAAAAATGTTCGCCAAAGGGTCTTGAACGGAGGTACGATCATGCATCTATTGATCGCACGGTCTGTAATCCGATCTCTGTGCCCTCAATCAGCGTCCCGAGTATTGTACGAGGAGATGAGCTCAATTGCGGACACGCAATTCCCGCGCGAGATTCGATTCTTTCCGAGGTCTCTTCCGGAGAGATTATTCCAACAATACAGCTCCGAGAAACATAGAATCAGTCTATTCCAGATTTCCCCTCGAGGGAAGAGAACGCATTCGTCGAGGGTATAAGCGGGGAGGACGATGAAGGATGGGCGGGAGGATCTTGATTACAGCTTCGTGTCCCGAACCCAATTCCGCGATGCATCGGAGATTTTTCAACTTTCTCGCCGCTTGGGACAGGCTGATGCTCTCCGAGTGGGCAGAATATGAGGTGAACGGCGCGGCGTACATCTGTTCGTTGATGTGACATCCGCCTCCTTCGGGCTGAGCGCGCATTCCGCTGAAAAAAGGCGCCGAGACACCGGACCCCGATTCGGTCACGATGAGCTAACTTCTGGTGACCATTGAGCGCAGTGTCTGATTTTTATCCGGTATGGGGACAGAGTCAAGTTTGCGAGGTTCGCCGCCTATCCATGTGAAAGCTCGCTCGGCATGTCGGTTGGTGGCTCAATACACCCCTCAATGTGGAAATCCGTCCGGCGACCTAGGTGCGACAGGGAAGGTAGGCTTTCGGGAAGCCCCGTCTGTCCAGCACCGGACGGGCCTCGTTGGTGACGAGCAACAACTTCTGACGATTCGAGCGAGTAGTCCCCATGCAGAAGTAGTGACGATAGGGCGCCATCTGTTTTGCTGCTGCTGCTGCCTCCGCCGCGGCTTGTTCATGATGATGGTTGCTTCAGATTCGTCTAGAGCAAACGTACAGCTGGTCAGCCAGGTAGTGAGTCGAGCCTGTGTCGCTGTGGATGGCCCGGCCGGCTGTCTCTCTGTTATGTTCAGTAGCTAGCGCCGTGTGTCTGGTGGGGCCGGCGGCAGCAGCGGCGAACCGACGGAGGGAGAGAGTTTGTCAGCTGTTCCTTCCCGCCAAAGCGCTCAGATCTTAGCGTTTCGCTGGCTGACTCGACCGTTCTTGGCTTAGCAGCAGAGTAGATTGTTGTGAAACAAAATGGCTTCTCGGGTGCACCAGCGGTTTCCCGGGGCCCGAGTGGGCCGTTGGGGCCGAAAGCTGGTGCGCTGCGGGCAGCCAAATGACGTGAGAGACTCCCCAAACCCCTTGGTCAAGGGGGCAGTTCGCATAACCCGTGCTAAAGCCAGTTTCAGCAGTTTGTTCGGGGAGTCAGAGACCGAAGAGGTAAGTTCGCGGAGTTTTCCTTGCTTTCTCCTCTATTCTGTGACAATCTTCGTGCGTGGAAGTGTCCGACGATCGGTTCCCATCAAGAGAAATGGGAAACCATCGATTGGAAGCCCTTCTGGGCCCTTGTGACGACTGTGTCTGGGCGCGAAACCCCATCTGTTCACTGCCAGTCCATCTCTATCCACACGGTCCGTTGGATGATACCGAGTTCAACGGCGACAGTTTCGGATCTCGGGCGATCCTGCGAAACCCTACCGAAAGACATGAATATACACTCGAGCGGACGCTGAAAGCGCGCTCAAAACGATAAGCACAGGATTTGCCCGGTTCAAGGTCTTCGGGTCTGCTGCCGCTGCCGCAGCTAGCTGCCTGCTTGCCGCTAAGACATACGCAGTTCATTTACACTGCGCTCGTCTCCGCACTTCGAATCACAAACATGCCCGGAGACAAGGATTGCTCACGGCTACCTCAATCGCGACGTTCCAGTTCAGACTCGACTCGCTGAGCTCTTTCGGAAACTCGTTTTCCTCCCTGTTTTTCGAGTGTTTGTTGTTAAGCAGTCTCTCCCACCTATTCGGCCAGCGCAATGACTTCGAACATGACTTGGAATCGGCAAGGTTCCACGAGAACCGATTGGGAGCCTCGTACGTGAAGAGAATCCGGTGTCCGCTTGATTGACAGATTAAACCGATCGGCCTACAAGGATGTGTAGTTTCCGGGATGGATGACCCTTCCCTCGCTCGGTGCTCCTGAGTGCACCGATCGTTGAGGGATCAAGGCGACGGTGTCCGTTGCGTCTAAGGAAAAATGAAAATCCAACGTAGGGATCAATATGCACCTGACTGAGCGATACTGAGCGCTTAGCCGCGCCGTCTTGAATTCATTCCACACGCGTCGGAAATGTCCAGGGGAATGTTGCCAGCTGACCTTTCGCTGAGCATCGACGTTGCTTGTCTGTCTACCTGCGCCGATAAGCGAGAAGTGTGTTCTAAGCGTCAATTTGAACACCATTCCTTGTGCCTTGGATCGGGTCCATGGATATATCGAGCTTCCAGATCAAATCGATGGTTACGAATAATTCCATCCGGATGAATCCGCATTGGATTCGGCGAGCTTTCCCAGACCCTTTCTATTCGGGGTTTTCGTCATGGTGTTCTGGATGCCACTTGAAAGGGGGATTATGATGCTCGGCATCCGAGAAAATTGGGAGAAGCGCGTTCTGATCGTGTCGTTCCCGTTGATCGTTTCCCGTGTCGTCTCCGAGTGATTTCGAATAGGGTTACCGAATAAACCTTCGTTTCCATAACGGGAAATCCTGTCGCCGGTCTGCACCACAGAATTGTGGAATTGTTTGAAGCCGTGAAGCACGTGACTCGGACGGAACCCTCCCTCCCGAACTGACCGAAGGTCCGTGAGTGCCCCGCCACCGATGTTCTGTGCCGACCTGCTTGCCATCGTCGTCGCTTTTTCCTCAGCCGAGGAGCCTCCTCGGATTTCCTCCTCGATTCTTTCCGCCGGCGACTGTTCCATACCGGTCACTGCGTGTTTCCCGTCGCGATCGCTCACTCGATCCGATGTGTTTTCCAGCGTAGAGCCGACGTACTCGCATGAGAACGACTAGCTGACGAGATGTCATTGATATTTTGTAAATGCTCGTCGTGAAGGTCGTTAGCTGCGGCTACTACCACTGCCGCCGCCGCTGCTGTGTTTTCTGAACATTTGCTGCTCAAACGGCTACGGCCCCCGCGACCTTGAGACAGCTCACAGAATTACTGAGCACTGAAATCAATGTCATCAATATTAATGCCAACAAGACCGCAGCTAGAAAGGGTGGACGCTCTGCCAGAGCGTCCGATTAAACCCGCCTGACACTTGAGCAGAGTAGCGGCTAAGTGTCTAGAAGGGTCTACAAGTCATGGCGAAGTGGTAGAATATCCGAGATCAAGGGACGTGACGGGTCTGCTCGCAGCGGAAGCGTCACGCGGATGGAGTGGAGGAGGGAGAATCATAGAGAACGGGGGAGTGACAGGCATCTCGGAAGGTGGTCGACGAAGCCGACTTGAGGGCAGGCGTAGTGGGGAATCTCTCAGGACAATCTTGATGGCCTCCGCGCCCTGAGTCGGGAATTCTCTCCCCAGTGGAGGAGGGGATCCATTGTCGAGACGTTGTCAACAAAACTCCAGTAAGTCAAACTCTGGTGGTTTCTAATGTCGGTCGGGGTCATGCTTGGAAATGTCACTCGCTTGCAAGTCGTTTGGGATATAAATAGATGTGACGGCATTCAAGTGTTTGCTGGATCGGCGTCGTCGAACAGGAGCGTGGTCTCCTAGCCATGCCTTGCTCCCTCGGAGCGGAAAAGACTCGGCCCGCGGAAGAACCTCCATCGTCCTATCGGATTCTCGTTTTTCGAGAAACCTTTCGTCGTTCAGGTTCTATTGTTTCACGTCGATGGCGAATCTCATTCCGTCTCCCTCGTTGAGAATGAGTCTTTCGACCTTTATCTTCGAATATAATATTTTATTACACCTTCCTATCTGAAGCCTCTAGAACCGTGTCGCTCTCTTGTCAGATTGTCCTCGTATTCTTGATCGATCGGAGGGAGATGAGCGTCGAAGTTCTGCGCGCGTTCTGGTGTCTTAGCTAGTCCCATCGTGGGGGGCGTCGAATCGAGATCTCGAAGTACCCAAGAAGTCGCCGCTGGCGGAAAAAAAATTGATCTGGGCTCGGATACTCCTCAAATTATTGACAGCGTATTCTAACAATCGAAGCTTGAGGCGATCCCGAATTCTGACCCTTCCATGGAAACCCGATAGCCTACTCCTCATTCCAGACTAATTGTGAGTTCTAGATGATGACGAACAGGCGCGAGAAAGATCTCTCCAGCAAAGGCGGGGGATTGATGACGTCGATCATGCACTCCTTTTCGATCTCTTAAGTGTTGATCCCCGCTTGATGGAATCAGACTATTGGTACGTAGGAAAGATACCGAAGCTCTAATCCCCGCTTCCGGCCGTGCTACCTACCGGTATGCTCCATTGGTTTGTAACGACTGTTTTCGCTCGTCGTTGTCGGTGTCCATTTCACTTTCGTTGAATTCGTTATTCGGCTTGTTGTCGTCGCTGGCTTGGGTGGTTGAGTCGTCGTTGTCGGAGGCGGCGGTGGTGATATGCTTCGCTGCGTAAACGGTTAGAGAGTTAGATGTTGCTGTCCATGCTGAAGCCTCGACTGCTCCAGCCGCTGTCTGTCTGCGTTCGGCATTGTCGTTGTGTGTGAGTGTGCTTCGTCTTATCGCATATGAATCACACCTCCTAGCTTCACTGCTTCATGGCAGGAACATTAACGACAGAAAGTTATCAGCGACGGAGACTTTCACTTCAGAAGTAAGAATTTTCGCTTGACGACGCGCTCCGACACGGCCCTTGCTTCTCGGCACAAGTAAGAAGAGTCCAACGGCATATTGAGCTCAGTTTGAACGAGACGCTGGGACTCTGCCCCGAACGCCGAGCTTCATCTGCCGATTTTAGAACCGGGCAATTATTCCATTTTGTTCTAGTAATCTTCCGTCGTCAATAAATATCCCCATCACTCAAGAGGTCCTGGGCTCATTCCTCCATCCCGGCAAAAGTTGGATTCATTCGCTTAACTACTCCCGGTAGAGTTATCTAGCGCTTATCGTCTCCTCATCGAACTCCCCCATCGAAGTCAAGTGGAGACTCGAGTTTCTGCGTCCGGTTAACCTTCTATTGCTCCTCGACGGCGGGGAGGAGGGACGAGGCGGAAGCTTCGAGCTCCGACTCCATTGGATTGTCGCCATTTCGAAGAGTTAATGAATGACTAGGAGTCATCGTGTCACTGTGTACGGGTTGCGTGAGATATTCTTGTCGGCGAGATCGCGCATTCCTCGACGCTCTTGTTTACATTTCTGCCGCACTTATCTCACAGTTTGGAATTTGGTCTCAGAAAGTGAGAGCGACCGTTGCCCGAATTCCGAATTCACCCGAAACAGCCAAAGTACTCGAGGAGTTTCACCTGCTTTCGAGCGATCAGCGAATATTTCATTGATGAGGAATAGAATGCATCCATATGGTTCGGAGGTGATTCCTTCGATCCGGAGACTCGGACTAATCTCATACCCGCGGTGCAAAGAGATTGCACTCGACCGAAGGCGACCCGTGTCGGAGAGAGAACCCTGTTCATGGAATCAATTAATCGAATGTGAAACACGTTCGAACGTGGTGGCGCTTGCGATTGTATCAGTGCATCCGATACGGTGGAACAAAGAATGGGACATGAGAAGAATAAATTTGCTGACTGAGAGGATTCTTTCGTGGTGGCAGGGGAGGGAACGAATCTGATAGTCGATATCCCACGCTACCTGCTCGTTAAGGATGTGAGCATCTCGACAAATGGAAAATCTTGTTGAATTATTCGCATTGGGTTTCTCTGATCGCCATTCTGGAGGGACTTGGTGATTGCTGAGTGGATGATGCGTTTCGTGTCGCGGATGCGATGAAGAACTTCAGCTGCAAGGGAATCTGAACCCGGTTCCAGGACCCCGAGGGCCTGGAGGGAGGGGGGGAACCCCCCTCTCCCCCGATGACGACAGAAATCTTGCCACGATCCAGTTGTCCCATCAGGTGGGCCGCCACGGAAAGATGACGAAAGCCGGACAGAAGTTTGGCTCGTTTCGTAACTCGTAGAGCTGCCGCGACTTCTCCCTACGAATACGAGTGAGGTGCACCGAGCCCGTTCCGAAAGCAAGAGAAGAATGGGGCTTTTTTTAATTTATATTTGAAGGGGCTGTCGTCGCCGGTGCCGATCCTTCTGGTGCTCCCTCGGACGCTACCGCTTCTGTTATCGCTGTTTCTGTCGTAATTCAAAGTAATTGTTTGTGCCGAGAACGTTGCAGAAGATTCAACGGGCTGCAATTCGTCGCTTGTTGATGTTTTTGCTCCTTTTGCCTGCTGGTCCGACTTCTTCGATGCTGGCCCGGCCGGCCGGTCGGTCTGCTGAGTGAGTCCACCAACAAGCGATGTGAAACATTTTCTGTAACTGCGGCAACGTTGCCTCGTTGTCGTCGTCGACGGTGGCGGCGCGGAGAGAAAAATAAAGCAAGACACGTGTGACAATCCGTATTCCATTCGGCCCGACGAGCGAACAACCAGTCGGTCTGTCGGACCTTTCGCTTGATTTCTGTCCGCCTGCCGGCCGGCCGGCTTGCCTGCCCGCTCCCTCCCTCAGTCACTCACTCAGAATTCGGGCGCTCTTCGCTGCGACTCCGGCTGCGCTTCAAGACCGACTGTGTATCTTATTCTATCTCCAGCGGGCCAATGGCTCCGCTTGTTTGTCAAACCACAGAAAAATCGTTCTGTAACGAAAAATGAAACACTTCTGGCTTAGCGGAGTTGCCGAAAAAACGAAATTCTCCTTCTTCTGAAGTTCAACGGAGCGACAGCAAATAACAACAACGGCTATCACCACGATCGGCGGCTCCTCCCACCTGAACGTAATTCGGAGTATGAAGCGGACGATTTGGCAGCCGAATCCGCTCGTTGCGTCCGCCGCCGTTGTGAACTCGCTCAGTCGGTTTCCCATCCGGCTCGATATGTCTACGCTTCGGCAATGTAGATCGAATTGTGCATTTTCCGCCAGAAAACATTTCGGATCTGACTCATCGGAGTCGAGAAAGAGAATTAATTCCTCTTTCGCTCCAGAACTCAATCCCACTATCGATGTCTGAAATATGAGAAAACCCCCGGACTGTCGAATTCGGTTCTGGATACGAGTTCCTAATTGAGTATTTTTCCCCCAAATGGAAAATTGAGTTCGCAGAATCACATCCACCACAGTTTGCCTCACTTCCCAGTATCCGACATGAAGGCGGTTCATTCACAAACATCGACAGAGAAGTGGGTATCATCTGAAATGCTCGCGCCTCCTGGAACTCGTACGGGAACGAGGCGGAGCCGGTCATTCCGGCAGGTTCTGTATTGCGATCGAAGAGATTGGAACGACTTCTACACTTTTTATTCTTCCGCAATCAGAGATTGCCCAATCATTACCGACGAGCTCGGGAGCCTTGATACCCGTACTCGTTGAATAACCTGAACTTCGCTGACGACTGTTTGGTGGATTATTCGCTCGATCGTTCGCTTGGTCGGTCGGTCGGTCGCTAGGACGGGTGAGTGTGTCTGTCGAGCTCGAGTCGGAACCTCGCGTTGAGGCCTGGGTTGAGCAGCAGATGTTTTTTCGGTGAGTCCTCGAAGCGCACCCTTCGCTTCCTGACCGAGCTTCGTCGTCGTCGCTGCCGCCACCACCATCGAAGTTGGAGATGGCTGTAGGTTCATGTTAGGCAAACAAGTACGCACAGCACCTCAAAGAGGGAGTGATGTTGCGGCAGCCTCGAAACTATTTTCAAACGAGCTTCAAATGTCCCTATTGAGAACACGCGAACATCCTGCCTGGGCGGTCTCCAAAGGCAATCCGGTTCTGCCGACTTCTGAGAAATTTCGGAGAACGATGAGTGTAAGGTCGAAAACACTTGAATACGACACGGCGGAGTGGAACCCATGCCCCAGCGTGTTGAACTTATTACCCTAACGATGCCGAAGGATTGGAGCCGATCCACGTCGGATCGATCGTTTCAAATCACATCTATAATACTTGCATTCGTTAGGAGCCCGATCGCAGGCTCTGATCTCGAGACCTTTATCGAACGTCATTGGATGTACTGCCAACGTTGCTGCGCAGCGGCTTTATGCTTACCCATGACTCTCCCGAGCGGTTTGCGAGCGCTTCCGTGATTCTCAATTCGGATTTCAAACAGTTCAGGATTTCGACGGAATTCCATCTGCATGAGTCTCCGGAGAAAGCGAAGAGAGTCGGCACTTGAGATTTGACCATTTCGACACAGCTCCTGAGATGCCAATGCGATGCGGCAAGGGCTGAGTTACGAGTTACGAGTCGCGACCCATAGCACCTAATTAGTCATCGACCTATCGATCCTCTCGCGTGTGAATCGGTAACGGCTGCAGACTCGTCAAGGGGCTAGCGAGTCATTGCATGCGTAGCTTCCGGATGTTTATGTGAAGCTCTCGATTCTATTGGGAACTCTCCCTTGCTTTAGCGAATAATGGGGCAACGAGTGGGATCGCGACGACTCTCCCCTTTTCCATGACCGGCTCGTCTCACGAGGAAACGCAGTCAAGCTACAGGTGCAATAAATAAGTTCCCCGCTGCCCATCGAAATTTCGCGAAATACCAATAAGGTACCGCCAGCCGGGAAAAAGCCTCACTTCTTGAAATCCGATCGGCACGGGTAATCGAGAGTGCGTAATACCCATTAGCATTCGGTGGCGAAGCCCTTGGCGACACTTCTCGCTCCGAGCTGAAAATCGTGAGGGAATAAATGCAGGCTGAATCACTCGATCGAGAAGCGTGTTCGCCGATTCGGCTCTGACGGCGAGTGTCTATCTGAGCAAGCTAATTCCTCGAGCGACAGCTCTTTTTAAGAGTCATCGCAAGCGGCGCAAAATTCAAGCGACGGCGAGTAATTTCGAGTCAATGATCAGAATACGAAACGAAGTTCCGGAGTTTCGTTACGGAGGCGGATCGGTTGAAAGTGAAGGTTCGTCGCTGATCGCTATCTGAGACTCGGGCCTCCCTAACGGAAACGTCTCCCTTGTGGGAACTTTTTAATCCGCTCCAACGATTCTCCATCAATCCCAAAGAGGTACAGTCCTTCCGTAGCGAGAGGTCTGACCGAGATAGAGCGACGAACCGAGGGAGACTTGAGCATTTCCGAAATCCCGACCCACAGCGAATACTGCAGTCGAGCGTTGTCCCACAATAACTCTCCGCCGTCGGTTCGGAACACCTGGAAGTGCAGTGACAGAAAAAAGATCCCACTCCCTCAATCGGTCGGTCGGTCATTGCGACCGAAGCTTGTTTTGCGATCCGACCGAGTCGGCCCGGGGACATGGGGGACTCCGATAGACGCATCATTCCATCAGCTCGCTATTGACGTTACCGTCAAGAGTTTTTGAATTCGACTCGATCTTGGCGTCATTGTTTTCCGGCCGCTTCGTCCAGATAGAATGACGGGACAGGCGGAGTCATCATTCGTCGAGAGAAGACATCGCCTGCGCCGCTCACCCCAGAGATACTACATGGAACAAGTGGCGGCCGTTGGTGTGATCGACCCCCTGCGTCTCAGGGTCATCCAAACGACGTGGCTTCAAACAAACGTTGCGCTCATTTAAAACACACTTGGACGACCGACCGGCCGCCCGGTCCACCCCGATGGACACCGCCGCCGAAGAAAGGAGCGAGTCCACGACGGCAACAACGGCCGTCGCAGTAGCGATGGAAACAGATTTCCAGAGATCCTCCAGATCTCGTGTTGATGCAGCGCATTCCTTCATTTCGTTCGGAGAACCGGTTCCGCTCCGGGCTGGAACAACGACACAGCGGTTGCGGCGGCGGACACATTGTTGGCGCGCGGCGTGAAGCGAAATCGCGCCTCGAAGAGAAAGCGAAATCCGGGAGTGAGAGAAGTCCGATAGCGTTGCCGTCCGGTGAAAACGTCGAATCGATCGAAGGGGGATCTAATGCTACCAAGTTGTCTAGGGGCTCATTAATCAAGCGACCGATTGTCGGAAGGCGCATATTTACGAGAACGCCGCCGCTAAAATTTTCGAAGTCAGATGAGGTATCTCTCTGACGCATGCTTCGACGCCATTTGCGGTCACCGAGCGTTCTCATGGATCGTCACGCCGTATTTAATGATTGTGTCGAGACACTCCGCCGACTTACCGAGTTTCTGCGTCGAAGGTCCTCCTCTTCCAAATCGAGCTGTACGGATCTGTGTATGACCGTCCGTACACCTCTCATACCTAGTCGTGCATGTCCTGAAACTTATTCTCGAAACCGTGGGTATTTGTCCTGCTCGCTTTCTTCTCCGTCTCACACTGCGGTGCGGACCAACGCGGTCGCTATCGATGGAGAAACTATTCCATCGGATGGAAAAACCCGGATGAGACAAGGACGGGACTCGAGCCCGGAGAGCCAAAGGAACAAGGGGGCTCATTGAGCAGGGACTGGAATCACCCTGGATCGATGGGGCGATTGAAGAAGCGAGAAAGATGGAATTAAGCACCCTTGATTACTTTCAGGACGAGTTCTTCGGTTTCGCAAAAGATGGATCCATTTTATCATCCGAAGACCCCGGAGGGGGCAGGAAGAAGGCTCGGAAAAGGTACGTGTTTGGACTGGGCACTGCTTCGAGCACTCGGCAAACCCAATCGTGCATCCTCTCCCTCCCTACACCGTCAGCGAATCCTGGAGACTCTGAAAGCTTTTGGGGGAATTGAGCACCACCGGTATCCTACGGATATTTCCTTGCCCACCTCGAAGAGGGAATTCTGCCTCGCCGCCATCGCTGAGACCTCGTTTTTGGCTCCCAAGAGTCTCGATTGCGCGGCCCTGGGAATACGTCATCTGATCCGACTGCCGTCCAAATCCTACCGAGTAATCGAATGAATTCCGATGGGGAATCTCAACGGGTAGTAAGAGAAAACAAGCTCGATATTTTTGAGAAACTCGCGGTTTGAACGCCCGACTCTCACACGATCGAAATTCTCCCGGCTTAGCTCTCGGGTCCCCCTGCCTCGCAACGATGGTCCTATAGATGTGCGATCGTAAATAGATTCCCAATCTCTTCGGTTACTTGTAGGTGGAGAAGGCCGTTAGATTTATTTATCACTGCTTCCATAATGAAGGGCCACTCGGAGAGCGTCAAAAGCGTTTATTCAAGAGAGGGCCCAGAAGCAGAGCGGGCTCCGATAAAGCAAACACTGAGCTCTCGGTCCCTGTAGACTTTTCGATGGCCGATCGCCCGACACGTCGGTCGCTGGCTCGACGGTTCGTTCCCTCATTCTTTCAATCGACGAATCACCTCAGCGGCATCTCGAGATGAGACCGCATCGATGCGAGTCGGCCACCAGCCAATATTCGGGAATCGTCGTTTGCGCGTGAGAGGCGAGCCGAAGCCGCACTCTCGTCTCGGGCGTGTATGTAGACCTAAGTGTAAGACACGAGGGGAACTCTTGCCGAATTGAGTTTGACAGGAGCAGGTACTCCTGATGGGAGTTTCTGAGAGGAGGAATCGTTCCACGGACTCGGGGCGTTCGATAATGAGACAGAGAGTCACCATCCTAACTTTCTAAGACTCCAGGGATGGATTCTCGTCATCGAGCTGACGACGAAGATCAGACTTTGGTTAGGCACGGGGGGTTTCGGAAAGTGGTTCATATTCCCGTGGGAAACTGGGCTGTCGGTGAATTCCTTCCTGACGGCGCACCCTCCTGTCTACTATTACAGACGAGCCACTGAGACCAGCGATTCGGCTGTCGAAGTCAAGAAGCCGACCACGTCGAAAGAGAATAAAAAAGCCAAGCTCTGCAAGGACTCGTCATCAGCACGATCCCCCGAGGACGATCAGGAGGATACGTGCAGCGACGAGCTCAGGAAAATCGTTCGTTTGTACACGGATGTCCTCCTTTCGGACTCCGATCGATCTCGAAACAAGAAGAAAAGGTAAGACGCGTAGCCCTCGCTCGTACGTCTGGATACGGCTCTGTGTCTCAAACCACCACTCGTCTTCGTTCCTGCACGTTGTTTGTAACCTTGTTTACGTCGTCCTGTAGTCTGCCAGCTGAAAAGGATCGCGTCGAGAAGCTCCTCAAAGCCCAATGGGAAGCCCGCCTGAAAAACAATAAGCCAACGATATCACCGAGTGCACCTGCAGCAACGTCATCGTCAGCGACGTCATCTGCGAGCTCTTGCGGGAACCCGGCATCCTCAATCGCCGATTCATCGGATCCAAGGAGCGCCGAAGTGAAGCTCGAGAAACGGGACTTCAAAGATTCTAACTCGATATCGGAATCGGGAGCAACGAGGGAGAGGGAAGCACATCTGAAGGAAACATTACATTCGTCGAAACCCAAAACGAAGCCTCTGCTCCGAGAGCCTCGGCTTTGTCTGGACAAGAAACAAAGATGCGTCATCTGCTCCGTAGAGAAAGGAGCTGCGGGCCACCTATTGAAAGAATACGACCAGCTCATCTGCAGAGTTTGCTTCCAATTTTTCACCAAATTTGTCCGTGTTCCTCAGCATTTAAAGTGAGTCTGTGCTGTCCACGTTCCGTGTCACTGTTGTGCGAATTTTCGTTGCACCGATAATTGTGTTTTACCATTACCTAAATCGAAAGAACTAATTCGCCGATCGAGAGCACTCTCGAATCCCACGGCGCTCCTCATATTGTTCCAACACGGCTCGAGACGGTGTTCCCTTCTAAACCTGTTCTCGACACTTTCAGCTGCAACGGCAGTGCGTTGGGAAATTGCCAGCTGCTCGTGGCGCCTCGATGCCGGGCCTGTTGGGCGCAATCGTGCGTCAACAACCTTCAGTTCGACGAGGACGTAAAGAGCAAGTTACAGGACTTTCTGCACGAAAAGGTCGAGAGGCAGAAGCTTCCACCGAAGGTCAAAACGGTGTTCGAGAAGCTGTCGACCGGCGTCCGTTGCAAACAGGAGTTCGCAGTCCCAAAAGTCCCCGAGTCGAAAATTATCTCGAACAAAGTCCAGTCGAGTCGACGGGAAGAGTGCCCGCTCGACGCGGCCAAGAAGACGTCGAGCAAAAAAGATCTGAGAGACCTAAAAGTCAAATCTCTCGTCCAGCGGCCGCCCTCGGCACGACGGAGGGAGAAGAAGGAGGAACTCGAAAGGGTTTCTAGACGAATTCATTTCGCGGAGAGGAAAGACGACATCCGTCGAGAAGTCGATCAATCCGGAGTCGTACTCAGTCGGAAGGTGAGTCTCCCTTTCTACTTCCGTTGAACTCCCTCAAAACGTATACTATCGGAACTCCATTCTGCCGAGCAGACGGGGTTGTCTGAATTGGGAAAGACTCGAGAATCTTCTCTGACAAGTGTCTCCATCGCAGATCCGGAATCTCCCCAAGGCCCAAGCTCGGAAACGTTACGAGAACGTCGATTCCACCCTCGAGTATCCGGGAATCAAACCTCTCAACTGGAGCTCGTTGGGAGAGGACATCACCCGTATTTTGAACATCGGGCTCCCAGTCATTGTTTCAAACCAGTTGCAGCTATCGAATGTCGTTTTATGTTTCGTGTGTGCTTCCAGTGTTAAACACAACCCGGCCGTTTATTGCGCCATGTGTTGTGAGCCGTACCACACGTTCTGTGTACAGATTCGAGATGTAAGTAACTCAACCACCCAATCTCTTGTGAATACCTGACTGAGCTCGCGCGGTCAGAGTGATGGATTTGACCGACGCCGAGAGGGAAAATTTCCTCTGCACATCGGACGAACTGACTCTCTTTCTCTTTCCAGGTTGAGAATATTAATACTATGAACTGGCTCTGTCCCAAATGTCAAGCTTGTTTCGAGTGCGGTAAGCGAGACAAGCGGAACCAGATGTTGAAGTGTAACAGCTGCAGGGAGGTATACCACACCGAATGTATTCCACCTGTCTACCCGTCGAAACCCAGCAAGCGGAAGAACATTTGGACCTGCATCAAGTGCATTCGTTGCAAGTCGTGCGAAACCAACGCCAGAGTGATGTCTGGTTGGAACTTCGATCTCCAACTCTGCACGGAATGCGTCTCGCTCCGACAGCGGGGGAATTACTGTCCGCTCTGCGAGAAGTGCTATGACGCGGACGACTACGATATCAACATGATCGAGTGCGCCCGCTGCAGAAAATGGGTTCATGCCTCTTGCGAAGAGCTGACCGCTGAGGAATATCAGCGGCTCTCTCTGCTCCCCCACACGGAAAGATTCACGTGTAGACGGTGCGGCCCAAACCAGGACCAACTGAAAACTTTGCTCGCCAAGGCAACGAACGAGTTGAACGAGACCTGCGTCCGGGTGCTGAACCGGATCCATTCGTTGAGCCCGGCGACGATGGCTCTCGCCGGGGAAGTCATAAGCCGCGCAAAATCAAATCGATACACGTCGTTGAAAGAGTTCTGCCACGAAATTCTTCAAGCCGCTCTACGAGGAGGCGTAGCTATTAAGCCCCTACGAGAGATGCTCCTCAACCTGTTGTCGTATCATTTCCAAAATTTGAACAACGACATGATCGATTCGTTGCTGATTGTTGTTAGCCCCACGAAAGACTTCAGAACGGGGGAGAAGAACTCGAAACCACCTCTTCCTGTCCTACCTCCGAGTGCCGATCACCATTACGCGAGATTCGATCCGAACAAGCAGCAAACAATCAAGAAGGAGCATTCGATGGTAAGTCTGAAACAATCGAAATAAATCTTCAGAGTCATCAAGTCTGTAACTCGATTAGGATTTTTGAGTGTCAGACAGGCATATTCGGAACGTGAATGATTTCGATCAGCCAATGATTCACAATATTCTCCCTACAGAATCTCGACGAAACTCAGGACGACGACAGCAGAATATGCGTGTTCTGCATGTCGAAAGGCGACGATCAATGCGCCGGACGCCTCCTCTACCTAGGCTGTGACTGCTGGGGCCATTCGAATTGCACTCTGTGGTCCGCCGAAGTCTACCAAGACGCCAACGACTACCTCCGTAACGTTTACATGGCCTTCTCCCGGGGCCGCTACCTCAAATGCGAGCTTTGCAACGCCAGCGGGGCCACGATCGGCTGCTGCGAACGGAACTGCGTTGCGAACTACCATTTCCGTTGCGCGATTCGAGCCGGTGCCGTGTTCTGCAAAGACAAAAGTGTTTTCTGTCTGAAGCACTCGAGGCTGCAGGGAGGAATCGAGCCGGTGCACCAAGAGGAACTCGCCTGCGACAAGGCGATGTACGTCGATCAGAGCGAACTCAAGAACAGCATCGGAAGGAATAAATCATGGACTCATGGAACGCAGCCGATCCTCATCCGGGCGTGCATCGGCAGCATGGTCATCGAATGTATTGGACGAATTGATCTCGCGTCCGATTTCGATCCTGACGTTCTCGTGCCCGTCGACTTTCGGTGTCGCCGAGTTTTCTGGAGTGTGGAAAACGCACGGAAGCGCACCGAGTACGTGCTGTCTACGCGACAAGTCGAACCAATGAGCTTCAATGATTTATCGCGACACAGCGTCGTTGACCACTGTGCCCGAGCGCCACTCGTGTACGGTGAGTAGCTCGTTGTTGTTTTTCTGTCTGTACTGTCGAGGATCGATCTGTGGTAACGAAATCAGATCGATGCGTCCCTGTGGCGGATCTCCGAATGGGAATATTTGAGGAACAACAACTTTGCTGAATCCACCTTATCAGTAGGGCAGAGCATTAATTTTGCTTTTCCGTTTTTCCAGAGCCACCCACTCAAGCCTATGACGCAGAACGTGAACTCGACACGCGTTTGCTAGAAGAGCTCTCCCGCTGTGTCCACTCGTCCAATTCTCACATCGATTTAACCGAGTTCCTAGAGAGTGTCACTCGATCTCTCGATCCTGAACTGTCTCATCAGCAGGCGAGCACATCCCACACCGGCACCTCTCCCTGTTCATCTCTCCAACAAACACATCATCAGCAACATCAACAACAGCAACAACAGCAGCAGCCATCGCCACAGCAGCAGCAGCAGCAGCAGCCCCTCGTGCTCCAACAGCAGCTGCTGAATCAGCAGCCGCAACAGCAGCAGCAGCAACATGTTCAACAGCAACACATCGCATTATCACATCAACAACAACAACAACCTCAGCTCAGTCATCTCCAACATCACCAACAACAGCTCCTGCAGCAACAACAATCGAATCTGCAACAGCAACAACATCACCATCAGCAACACTCTCCGTTGCCGCAAACGCTACAGCAGGATCTGGTTGAGGGCATACCTTCGGGGTCCGGCAGCCAGTCCGACCATCTGAACCTCGGAGATGTGGATCAGGTCTTGAGACAACATACCGTCTGTCAACCCCTGAATAGATCTTCTCCGCAGCAGCAGCACCAACAACAACAGCAACAGTTAACGCAGCCCCAGTCGCAACATCAAGCGCAGGTTCAGGCTCAGCAACAACCTCAGCAACAGCAAGCCCAACAGCAGCAGCCGTCGCAACCGCAACAACAACAACAGCAAGCAGCCATGGCTGTTGTCACCCAGAGCCCCGCTCAGAACGAGTGCAACCACCTGCAGCATGTTCATTCTCTGCCGGTGCAACACCACCATCATCATCATCATGGGTGCACCCATCAGAGGCATGCTTGCGCTCACCAACATCCTCAACAGCTGCAGATTCAGGCAGCTGCACCTCGGGCACCTCTCCTGAAAAGACGTCCTGACGGCACTGTCGCCCTGATGACAAACCAATTGAGCACAGCGGCGCGACCAACACTGGTGAACGCTGCGCTCATGGGTCAGACGCCGCTGCAGGTGGCAGTAAATTCGAGCCTCCTTCAACAACAGCTGTTCCCGCAGCAGCCGACCTCGCTGTTGTCACCGACCGGGGTTCAACTGGTGCAAGCGAACGGGAATCTCACGATCCTAAATCCGACCTCCATGGTACGAGGAGTCACTGACATAGTACGGGCTGTCGGCGAGGTTCAGACGACCCTCGCCAGCCCCACGAGTTCCATGACGGGGACGATCGTCAGCAAAATCTCACCTCCAAGACCAAAAACAATTCTGCCCAAAATGGCCACGGTGGCAACGAATCAATTGAGCGCGGCAGCGACGACGACAACTCACATCAAAGCTGCGATTCCCCTCCAGACAAACAAAACTCTACTGACGACCACGGCTTCCGGCATAATTCCCACAACAGTCGGTCCGACGATGGCCCAAACTCCTATTCTTAGTGTTCCTCAAGCTGGTCTCACTCCACAGCTACTCAGCCTCGCCATACAGCAGCAGCAGCAACAACATCAGCAGCAGCACTCCCAGTCACAACAGCAGCAACAACAACAACAGCAGCAGCCACAATCTCAACAACAGCAGCAGCAACAGCAATCGACAGCGTCAGCGAACCCTCAGTGTGAGGTGTACGAAGTTCCGGGCGGAACTATCATCATTCCCAAAAAAGTCAACAACCCACAAAACAATCAGAATCCATTGAATCCTCAGACCGGGGTCAGCCTCCTGGGCGGCATGCAGTTCTTGGGTCAACAAGCCGCGTGGCCTTTCGCGACGCCGACAATCCAGTTGATTCAAACGCCGACAGGCCAGCAGGCCGTTGTTTTGAATCCTTTCATGTCCACCCCGATGATCTACCCCCAACTGGCTATGCCGAATCTGCTCCTCCCTCAGGGCGCGTTGGCCCAGTTGGTGGGTCAACAAGGACAGCGTCAGAGTTTGGTCGGCTCGATCGGACCCCAGGGCCTCCAGATAATTAATCCGGCTCTGATTCCCAAGCTTCACGCTGTCACAGCCCAGCAGCAGAGTCAGCAGGCTCCGGCTCAGCAGCCGCAACAACGGCCGCAACAGGCCCAAGCGATTCTGCAGACCCAACAACAGCCGTCGCATCAACAACAGCCGCAGCAGCAGCAACAACAACAACAACAGCAAACGGATCCTTCGGCACTTCAACAGCAGCCGCAACAACAGTCTAGTAATTCGATCGTGAAATGTATGACTACACAAGCCCCGGTGACGAAGGCATCCACGAGCACTTCGGTGAGTCGAGTTTCGAAGACCCTCCTTCCCATCAGAAAATTTTCCCCTTTTCTCGCCAATTAGGAGATGGCCGGGACATCCCGGAGGAAATCGAATCTATGAATCCTCGTTGACCGGTTATTTATTTTTCTAGCAGAACGAGTCTCACCAACTATCCATCGGAGGTCAATCGAGTAGCCCCGTGCTCAGCACCGGGCCTTGCCTCCCCGAGAAGAGTTCACCCTCAGACGTCGTGTCGACGACGACACAAGACATTTCCATCGAGGACAAGGACTCTCCGCGGGGCCATCTCAGCCTTGAGAGCGACTTGAATACCCAGCGGCCGAACTCGATGAATAATGATCGATATCCCGAGCCCGACTCGTCGACCAACGAGCTCCCCCTCATCGAACGCATGGGAGGGTGCTCACCGCTCCCCTTGCCGGCCCCTCAGAGCCCCTTCTCGTGTTCGCCGTCGCCATCGTGCTCACCCGGTGAACAGGAGGAGGATGCGGACAGTATATTTGCTCTCTTGCGGAAGGCTGCCAACAAAATCATGGATTCGGGTCTGCAGGTGGAGGTCGCGGACAGCTGCACGAACGATGAGCAAAGTTTGTCGCAAATCGAATGTACTCCACTGAGTCTTCCGCCGTCTCAGCCGATATCCCAACCAATGATGTCCATCCAACACCACTCGCCTCAACAGCAAGAGCAAGAGCAGCAGATGATCCCGCAGCAGATGTCCTTTTCCATCGATAAGCAGGAGCCTCTACAGCAGCTGCAGACTCCAGCGCTGCAACAGTCGTTCATGCAGTCCAACCAGCAGCTGCAACCGGCACCCGTGGTCAGTAACAACACGGCGACGGTTAATCTCCCCATCGAGGCGACGGCGGACGACTCGCAGATGTTCCCTCAGACATCACCGAAGTCCACCACGCATCCGGTGGACGCGCCCCCCGAAGACCGACCCTACATCGTGTACAGTCTCGAGAGCAGTGACGGCGCATACAGGAACGAGTCTCACAACGTGAACACGTTGTGGAAGGATCTCTTCGAGAAACTTCAGCAGGCTCGGATCAACGCTCATCTTGATCCCCTGCCGCTAGATCTGTCGGAAATCGATGGCTACTCGATGATGGGCTTGCGCAACACGCTGATCAGCCAGCTGGTGGAACAACTGCCACGGGCCGACGAATGTCTGATCTATAAAGCGAAGCACTGCAAGTGGCGAGGTCTCTTCAAGAACCCTTCCGGATGCGCTCGCATGGAGCCGTTCGATGGACAGAGATCCGATCACGATATGTTCTCGTGGCTAACCTCATACCACAGGCATCCCCCGAGGTTCTCGTCACCTACTTCGGACCATGATGTCACTCCCACCTGCTCGAAGAGGCAAACTTCTCTGGATCTGCCCGACGGAATGCGCTACCGGCATCTCAAGGAAACAACAAAGCAAGTTGCCGGAGTCTACCGCTCTGGCATCCATGGCAGAGGGCTATACTGCAAGAAGGACATCGCCAAGGGCGAAATGATCATCGGTGAGAATCCGTCTAGTCTCGAGCAATGCATGCGATGGAAGTTATTGGATTCCCCTCATCACGTGTCGGGCTTATTTTCCTCTCTCTAATCCGAATTCGAATTTCCAGAATATGCGGGCGAAGTCATTCGAGCTTCGTTGTGCGATCGCCGCGAGAAATACTACGAAGGTCGGGGATTAGGCTGCTATATGTTCAGAATGGACAACGATGAAGTAGTCGACGCGACCGTGAAGGGCAACGCGGCTCGCTTCATCAACCATTCATGTGATGTAAGTCCCAGGTAGTCAGAGTCAACATGGAGTTCCCAATCCGATCTTCGTCGGTCCGGCCTGGATGGTCGGGACAGACGACGCGCCGTATCGAATTAAGCGGAAATCGATGTCGGAAGAATCGAACAAGAGATGGAAAATTAATGTAAGCATCAATTCGCAGCCCAACTGCTACTCGAAAATGATCACGGTCGACAACAAGAAGCACATTGTAATCTACGCGCTGCGAGAGTAAGTTCCGTTCTCGTTACCGACTCGATATTCTTCCGTTTTTCACATCGGCGATGATCCAAGACTATGCGTTCAAGGCAGCTGACGATATATCGAGAGCTGAAATCCACCAATTCCCTTTCACCCCTTGACTCTGTCTTCTTCACATCCAGGATCCGCACTGGCGAGGAGCTGACATATGATTACAAGTTTCCCATCGAAGACGACAAGCTGCACTGTACTTGTGGCTCGAGGAGATGTCGTAAATTCATGAATTGAAGACGGATGGAAGGCTGAGCGTAGTTCCTGCGTGAACGGAAATTGTATCCAACAAATCGAGTGTGAGCGACATGAGACATTTATCTTCATGTGATTATTGATTGATTGATCGAATGACTGATTGATCGAATGACTGATTGACCGGCGAGCTGCCCGAAGCGAAAGTCATCGACGGATGTTGTATTTTTATATATTTTTGCTCTAATCCTCTCGATCGAATCATCTCAGGCAGTTCGAGCAAGTTACTTGAAATTGATCGTTCATGTACGTAGTTGTTGGTAAAGGACGAACGTCAAAACTGCGGGAAGGAGAAAATTCCATGGTGGGAGGCGCAGAGGACACAGATAGTCGAAATCTTGACAGTAATATAACGAACTCTAGGAACCAGAAGGAAACCTCGGCTGCCCCACCTCGGGGGTGGTCGAGGGTGAATTTCGTTTTTAAAATGTTGCTAATGAGGGCTGAGCATCTATATAGATAGAAGCTTCGCTCTCAACTATTTACTATTTTATGGGCATTTTGCGAGCATGGCTCGAAGTGCCATAAGTGCTCTTAAGTATCTTAGAGTCGCTTCTTGAATATAATCCACAACACCGGCTATTTTTTTCGTTGTAGCGCTAACCACTCTCCCCAGTATAGAAAGTCTCTTATGGCATAGCGATGGATAATTTATACATATACATCCGATCGCGTAAAGATATAAGTCTCAACTTGTAGTGCTGATGCGAGGATCAGCACCGCTGATGAGAAGGCACCCAGTCTTGTGAGGTTGTCGCCTGAAAACGACTTCTAAGCTTAATCTCAGTTCCCTAATGACTCTTATCGTTTGCTTTGATTTGATTTACTTCGAGGGAACTTCCGTATTCTGTCTGATTATTTTTCCAATCTTCGGAGAATTGGATGCGCGATCGCATCCTCCTAGAAGGAGGAAAAAGATGCATTTCGATCCTTCCGTAGGTAGACCATTCGACCCCCTTCGACCGCTTTTCATTCATGGTCTCTCCCTTTGTAAAAAATTCATCGATAATTTATTTTTAGTTAGGCTGAAACAAGCCATAGGACGACGCGACGCGGCTGGAGGTCCGGCACGCTTTCCCGGAAAATGACGGAAATTATAACAAATTCTGCAGTCATTTAGAAGCAGAATCAGTTGGTTCTAAAACGACGTGTCAACCACACGCAGTGTTCGTGCGCAACGGCAGCATGAGATTACGATTTTCAGAAAATCGAGTAGAGTGATCCTGCGACGATCGACTGTTCCTTCGACTTTCACATCATCGGTCGCCTGGATTCGTTTTCTCCAACGAAGTCTCAGTCTCTCGTCAGCTTATCAAACTAAAATCAATATTTATTAGGACAGCGGTGGGCGACTAATTTTTTATCACCATCTGGGAGAATTTCAACGAGCTTCACTCGAGCGCCGATATTAGACGGCCACGTGAAAGGGTTGAGCAGAGATCTCGACCCGCGGTAGAAGGGTTTCTATCGGTTTCGCGATTTTGACTGAAGTTGTAGAAAGCCATCTGTTATTGGACATTACTTATGACGAACATTATTGGAAGAACATAGCGATCTGCTAAAATGCGAACTGTAAACAGTGTCTGTTATATGTGATATGGAACAGATCAGTATGACAAATATGTACTGTATAAACATGTGAATAAACGACTAACTTGTGCTATGAGGCAATGACTCTGTTCTAATTCATCGACCTGTTCGCTCCATCGAGTTCACGAATGACTTTCGCGGCAGACGTACGACGCGGGGCTGATTGCATATTTGTGACGTTATTTTCTCGTGTCAGCTTGAGGTATGAAAAAATATTGTCGCGTCTCTGCTCGGAGAAGCTCTCGACACTGGCTCGTGTTATGGGTCAGCAAAGAGTGATTATCCGCGAAATTGAATTCATACGGCTGCCTAGGGATCAATATCGTTCGGGGTATGATGCAGAATCGGATGACCCGACGGAGACTACTCGGCTCAACTTGACCTTGAAATCATTGTTGGTTGACGCCGAATATCAGCTGCCTCGTATCGAGGTTCGGGGGTTGATCAGACATTGGATAATATCGCCATCGAGCCGCTTTCCGGATACCGTGGACATTCGGAACATCGAATCCCTGGCCGAAGAGCTTCGGGAACGACGCTTATTTATGCATCAGTGGTGAAAAATTAACCGCCGACGCGAATATATCTTGACTCGTTCCGCAGCCGACCCAGTACTTCACATTTATGTCCGAATTGTTCTCTGCGGATCACAAAGTCCGGCGCTAGAGCTCGACGCGCGTTCTCCCCCTCAGATCCCATCACGATCTGTGCCGAACGTGTAATTGAAGCTCGCGCGCAAGACCGCAAAGGCATAACGGGGCCTGCTAAATCGGTGCGCCTCCTCGTGACTTCTCCTAACCTTCTGACCCTACCCCTTCGTCAGCCGTCATGGATTACGGGATCCACCCGCGAGTTCCCAAGCAATTGAAAGGGCAAACCAGTGTTGTCCCTATGTTTTGGCGTTACATCAGAGCGGAATTCTTGAGGAAAGATCTCATATTGACCTATATCACCCTGGTCTTCAGCATCGTGGGTATGCTGTATCAGTGTATAGATGTCTTATCGAGTTACCTGGAATATCCGACCCTCATGAACATTTTGGAGGAACGTGAAGCTGCGAGATTTCCAGCCATGACAACGTGCCTCAGTCCATGGTACAATCTCACGATGGTTTGCGAGAAAAGAAACGGGCAGTGTTCGAAGAAAGATGTGGTGAGTGTTCCTTGTTGGCTCCTGTTTCATTTCCATTCCTGGTTAAGGGAGCAACAACGATCTGATCATTCTGGGCAGACCCGAGCCTCTCCTTAGACCAGGGGTGTCAGACTTTTGGCGGGGCCGCATTAAAAATTTACTTTCGTATAAAACGAGAATATATGCCTATCGCCCATGGAAGAATGCTTTTCCAGCCTCCGGGGATCGAGGGGAATCTCGTTCGTTTGGTTGTACGGAGGGATTCATTCCACCGATCTCATTCAATTTCCAAGCATTCATTCGAAATGGTCGGCTCCGAGTATGGGGCGGGGGGGGGGGGAACGGGCGGGCAGCAAAAAAAGACCTCGCGGGCCACGGATTTGACACCCCTGCCTTAGACCACAACTCTCTCCAGATGCTCGTCTTGTCCTATCCAAAACACGCGTACTTCAGAGAGTGGAGAGACTACGGCTTATCCGATCCTTCAGTTCTCTTTACGTGTAACATGACGTCATTCATGCCCGATTGCCCCGACTTCGATTGCAAAGATATGTATGTACGACAGCGCGTGTCATAGGAGAATTATTGTGCCGAATCGACGGACCCCACACTTTAATGCTCCCTTGACCGGATTCTCTGAGATTTTCAGGATCCGACATATATACTACAAGGTCCCGATGATGGCCTGCTACACCCTTGATCTTCAGAGATTTCTCCCGAGAAACCATTCGTACTTCAACTGTCAATATACGTGGTCATACGGTGAGCTAGAGTCTGGACTCGCCCGGATGTCGAGGAAATATCATTCATAATCCGTGTCCGGCTCTGTGGGCGATAAAGTTCGCGCTGCTCCGGGGCCAGGCTGTAAACTGGATATACTCTCTCTAGAGCTCATGGTGGAAGCTCGTTGGAACCCGAAGACGACCATGAGCACCATGGACATGATGTACTATCCCATATTCTTCCACGATTCATCGGTATACGCGCCGGAACCCATGTCCTCCGCCGCGATGCGCAGAGATGTTTTCGTGGACTACACGATAGCTCAACAGGATTGGAGTCGGCTCAAAAAGCCCTACCATACGGACTGTTGGGATTATCGAGAACGTTTCGGTCGGAAGCTGGTCTCTATCTATCAGGGCTGGATGAGTCAATTGGTAAAACTCAGAGCTTGGATGGATGGATTGATGGAAAATGTGGTCTGATTCATCCGTCCTTCCACCGAAGCAGAAGCATCGATGCGTTGAGCGACGTCAATCCGGAGGACTCCGGGTGTTTCCCCGTTCTGATGACCGATGAACCTGCACAAGTTTTGAGCGAGCACAATAATTTATCTCATTCTCCCCCAGAGCTGTGAGCAAGAGTGCAGAATGGCTCAAGAGCTGGAAAATTGCAACTGCATTCGAACAGTCAACGAGTTTAGTCATTTCATGGACGTCGTTCTGTGTGATGTTTCCGCAGATGGTGAGATCCCGCTTGGGAGATCAATGCGATTTGATAAAGGGCAAGAAATTACAAACGCGCAGGAGTCAGACATGCAGTCGCCAAACAGGGAGAAAACGCCGGGAGAGTCCGTCCGAGGTCCCTTCGATCTTCTTTTCAGACAAATGCAGCGCTATAATGACGGCGAACAACTCGTTCCTCTACAGCAAGTGCAACGGGATCTGCAACTCGGAATGCAGGTAAAGTTTCGGGAAATGAACGGCGTGTGCTCGCGCGAGCGTGCGCCTCTCCACGTCACGGGAGGCACGCAGTACGTCCGGGCAGAGCGGCTCAGTCCGCATGATCCGTCATCTCTGCTGCTGCATCCGCCTTCGTAGTCAATACGAGCCGCATCAGTATTCAGCGATACCCGGTTCCGAATATCATCATCGTCGCTGACATGAATTTTCCCATCAGCACGACGCGATACGATGCTCGCATCAGCGGTTTGCGGAACTATTACCCGAAGAACCACAAGAAGAAGAAATCCGATGACATGATGTGCGGCTTCAGCGTAGCTTTCAGCTCGGCGACAGTCGAGATTTATCACCTCAAGCCGGCCATGAACGTAAGTCGGAATGTCTCGCAGCCATCGCGTCGAAGTTTCCGACGACGGTATTCAGACTTGAATAATATTCCGGTCGCGGGAATTCGATGTCATCCGGAAAGCGATGGCATACACGAGTTCAAGGATATGTATTCACGGATGGAATGATCCTGATCCACTAGAGATTGCGAAGATCTTCCAGTACAGCGGCTAACAATCTGCTTCCGGGGACTCCCGATTCTCCGTCCTCGCAGACGGGGAACTATCGCTGCACAACACGCGGAGAGAATTCTCATTCCTCAGAATAGCTCCATGGCAGATTTAATCATTCCCAGCATCTCGATCTCCAACACGATCCAATCCAATGGCAATAATTCACATCGATTATTTGCATTCAATTCAACATTCGACCATTTTTTCAGAGTGAAATGCTTCTGGGCATCATGGCTGGATTCATCGGCGTGTGGGTGGGACTAGCCTTCTCGAACGTTGCAGATTATGTTGGATTTTTGATCCCTTTGAAGAGAGAGAAGGAGGTTCTTCTGAAGAGGCGCGCGGACCCCCTTCCCCCGAACTACAGACAAGCCCTGTACAATCGATACTGATCGAGCTCGGACCTGCCTCCAACTCTGCGAGAGAGGGTAGCCTCCGTCGAGCTTCTTCTCTGACGCCCTAAAGAAATGTCAGGGATCGGGGACGGAGATTTCGGAACTAACTCTTTTGACTCAGAACTGACTGCTCAGGATCTGCCACTTCCGAGGGACAATAAAGCATAGGGACTTCATTCTGGAAATCGTGTAGTATTTTAGCAAAGCGTATGGGTCATCTCTTTACTGATGAGCCAGAACACGACCAAGTTCCCCATGCGTTGATTGCTCGAAGGAGACATTCGTCCCGTCACTTGTTCCGAGTTCCCTGCTCACTCCTTCCTTTTTTACACTCTTTTTCACACTTCGGAACACCTCGAGTTCCCTGTTCTTAGTCATTAGGGGAAGGAGATCATGCCTCGAGGAGGGAGAATTCTACATCTCGAAATCTCTACACTGACGACGTCCTAATCAAATCCATTCCTACGGCATAGAATCCTTCTGATAGGACTCGAGCGGTCGGATCAACGAGACGAATCCGGAGCTCGAATGTTGCGGTGTTCGATTAAGTAAGCCAGCCTTCGGAGTCGTTGCCGATCAATTCCAGTGATAAATTGCCGCCTCTCGATGGTCGGAAATTATTCACTGAGTGAATGTCGTCGAGGGGAACCTTTGTAATCTATATATATAAAAACGTATGTCTGTCTGTTTGTCTGTCTGTTTGTATGTCCGGGGTACCCTATAGACTCGAAAACGGCCGAACCGATCGTCGTGAAAATTTGTGAGCGTGTTCTGTGGGATCCAGCGGTGGTTATAGGGGGTCAGTTCTCCGATGCGATGAGTCCTTCTACCTTAAAAAAATTATTTGAGTGCTCCACCCACGAAAATTCGAAAACTCGGAAAAAAATTGAAAAATCTGAAATTCGCAAAATTCACTAACGCCTGAACCGATCGCCGCAAAAATTCAGGGGTGGGTTCCCGGGAGCTTCAGGAAGGTCATCTGAGGGTCGTCGTTCTCATGTTATGGGTCCTCCCCCCATAAAAAAATGATTTGAGTGGTCCTCTCACCGAGAATCAAAGATTTCATCAAGGGAAAGACGGAAATTCGATTTTCCGGAGGACATATCTAATAAAAGCGGGGGACACGGGGAGGCGGGGAAGCGGGAAAGCGGGGAACCGGGAAAGCGGGGAAACGGGAAAGCGGGGGAACGGGAAAGTGGGGAAACGGGAAAGCGGGGAAACAGGAAAGTGGGGAAACGGGAAAGCAGGGGAACGGGACGCTCACCAAGAGCACGCGCGACCAAAGCAAGCGCACCCGAAGCCAGCGCACTCGGAGCCAGCGCACTCGGAGCCAGCGCACTTGGAGCCAGCGCACTTGGAGCCAGCGCACTTGGAGCCAGCGCACTCGGAGCCAGCGCACTCGGAGCTAGCGCATGTTTAGTGAGTCTAGCGATACCGAGTCGCCGCGAAGCGGCGACCGGGAGCGCTAGTCTTGAATATATGGCCAGAGAATACCAGAGAGATTGTTCTGCTCCATCAATCGTGAATAATTAATTGTGCCGTCAGCGCGCTGAGAGCCCGGTCGGATCTGCGGCTTGAATTTGTGTACAACAGGGGAGATCTCGTTGATCTTCGACGAATTAAACCTGAATCGGAGGCTCAGGAATCCGGAGTGGACGAGCTCATTTCGCCCTAACAATTTGGGGATTACATGCGGTACTCGGGGAGCTCAAGATCAAACTATTCGTGCAATGGTGCGGAGACACACTTCGAACCGCAGGACATTCTCAACCAGCCCGCAGTGATACTTCTCTCATTATTCCTCGACGCTGCGACGGCCGCCAGGGATTTAGAAATGGTTCCGCTTCCGCACATTCCTGGGCATTTATAGAGGCGTCTCGATCTTTATCGCGTTCATGTTTTCTTATCCGTGAAAACAACGATTGTATGTATTGCATATTGCATGTCGGACAACTCCGACGGTACCTCAGACTCAGAGTATGATTAGGCTCTGAACAATTATTTCTTCAGATAAACTACGATTGTGAGTCCAGTATCGCGGTATGACTGGAAGTCGAAGACTCTTCCGCGTGAAGCGCGACATGATCCTCATCTCGAGGGCGAGTAATATCCGCGACAACTGTCGGGAAATGAAGATCGAGAGGACCCGCGTAATTCGAAATCATTCCGGCGCTGCGGGAGCGACCCATGCCCCGGAGACCATTCTTGGTTCAATCCATCGCGATCGTTCGGATTTATCCGCGCTTCTTTCGACTCAACTCATTTGGTGGGGAGCCAGTCTCGTGTCTTCTCGTCTAGTTGCTTTTCGGAGTAATGGCTGTGTTCGTAGGCACCTGTCTGAGGACGAAGGATCGTCGATTTTTTCAAAGGAAAAAGAGGACGAGCTCTCGAGAGGTCTACTTTAAAGTTTCCCCGGGACTTCGTTCCTTCTCCTCGGTTTGGCACGGGACAAAGAGCGGGAAGAGCGGATCAAGAAGAGGCTCGGTGGAGGCAGCCTATCGAGAAGCACGAGTTCAATTTACGTAGATCGAAGTCCGAGATTCCGTCGGCCAATGGGAGGGGGCCTGAGCCTTACCGAGTTAAAGTCTCTCGTCGTCCTCCGCGGAGATGGAGGAGGATCGGGCCTTTTAAGTTCCGCGATATCTTTAGGCCGGAAAATGCTTCATCGAGAAGCCGAGAGAACTATTGGTAGACGAATGGGTAGCTATAGTGAGAGCGTTCCGAATACACTGACTGAGCAAACGGGCGAAGTCATTCCTCTAGAGCTACTCCAATCGAGTTTGATAAAAGGAGATGATCCCTCAACCCCGCGCTCATCAAGTCATGGCTACAACAAGGGTAGGATACATATGGCCGTGCTTGCGCGGCTCCCGTAAGCCATAAGGAGGAGTGATTAGACAAGGACGCTTTTCTCCTCCCGTCTTCCTCTATACAAGTTGTACTCGGGATGATCCCTCACTATCCAGATTGTTTTCTCGGGGTGCATTATACCGAGATCCTGAGATGACTTCGGAGACCGCATCAATCAACTTTCGAATGCTCGAAACGTTTAAGGGACATGAAGATATCTACGGAACTCATATGAACGACTCATTCGATTGCAGGCTCCCCTTCTCCGATATTCACGCTTCCGTTTTCAGAACTACGAGGGCGCGTCGGGGTGGGGCACAGACATCGTGGGTCTCTCGTTCGGAGTCACTTCCGTCCTCTCGAAAACATTCATGTAGTATGAGCTTTCTTCGGCGGATGGAGATTAGCGTGCGCGAGGCTTTGTTCCACTTTTTTCCTCCTCCACGGGGGAAAGTAGAAACTTCTTCTTCACGGTCACGACATAAGTTGCGACTGCTGAGATTCTTTCCTTTATGTCCCACCGTTCTGTAGTCGGGAACGATCAGCGAGACATCTGAAGCATACTGGACTAGCCCCTAGCCTTGGGAACATCGCTGATGTCGAGGTCTTAGCCAAAAGATCACATCAAGTGTCGCGCCACAACCCTTTCCAAGCCGCGGAAGAAGTTTCAACAGACCTTCGATTGGCATGAAGTGGCAATATCTCACCGGTGCTGTTCATTCATCTCTATGATGGGCTGAATTTTCATGTTCTTTCATGCCCGGGCTTAGATCGGCGGAGAATAAACGATTCGTTGCAAGTCTCCACGATAATCCCTAATCCTTTCCGACCGTATGGTTTTGAAACAAACTCTGAGTTTCCGACTGTCTCGGTGCACTCTTTTCGGTCTTCCTCGCACGTCCTGGTCCTCGGTCGACCAATCTAATAAAGTATCAGAAATGCGAGTGGTACTGCTTGGAAATTCGAGGTTCCGTGTGATATTCATCGCAAGCTCTGAAACGCAATCGACACGAACACCTGAGTTCATCGCTGATTCCCACCGCATTCCTTCAGGAATGATATCCTGTTTCACATGATTTCCACGACAGGGGTCGATGCCTCGAATTTCAACTTCAGACAGAATATAGCATAGAAAGATCGGATCAGTGTATCTCAAGGATTGTCTCAGGGAAATCGTCCCACGCCCTACGTTTGGTAGCGCTGGATCGGATAGAATCGAAAGGCAATTATAAAATTCCTTTCCTTCCGATATGAAAGTCTCGCACGATCCAAGGGAGCTGACTCTCCTTTCCTCGTCACCACAGACGACGTCCTCGTCTTCCAAAGTCAGAACTCGGTTCCTTCCTGGTACTCCGACTGAGTCGGTAGAGCCTTCCCTAATGGGGAAACCCATCAAGTAGCATCGAGCATCTATACGACAACATGCGAGGCAGCCCCCGCCTTGCAAATGCGAGAGCAGGATGCGCGCAGACCAAAATTCTCGGTCACTCGTTACATGATCGTATCGCCTGCCAGGACTCACTCGGTTTCCGCTCGTGTCTGCGTCTTTTCATCCCTGAAATTTCGGCCGCGGTTGCAAATACCGTCGTTGTCCTGAGTAGAATGGATGATAGATGACACGATAACTCCGACACGAAGAGCGATATCAATTCACGACTTCATTCACGAGTGCCTCGAGGAGCTCGCCTGAGATGAGTTGACTTGAAAAGTGCTCCACCTCGCTGCAGGAATCGAGAGCCAAGCAATTACCCTCCGGGTCAGTGTGTGATCAGGGATTCTTGGCACGTCCAATCTGTTGAACAGAAGTCTCATCTCCGCAACGCCTCTCGCGTGCGCTGTCGCCCCTGAGGGATCCTCTGTGTTTACGCGTCTCCCTTGCTTTCCTCTCGAGTGCCGGAGAACCCCCTCGCATGCTCATCCTGCGAAGTACATGCTGCTAATTCGAAATATCGTTCTCGGACGTGACGCGCAGGTCTCGAGGAAGTCAGTTAGAAAATATCGGAGGAATATAATTGCTGATAATATTCTTGCAAAAATCGGAATCAATAATTCATTCATTTCGATTGCGAGTGTCTGGGTTGGACCAACCACGCATCTGTCCCTACCTTCCCCCGAGGGTATTTTACGACCCGAGAATGCATTAGACC